ATTTAACCACAAACCGAATTTACGTAATTTAATTAATACTTATCGTGCCTATACAATTGGTGTGTCCTAAACAGGTAGGAAAGATATGTATTTGATTGAATCATCATTTAATAAATGCGTACTTATCGTGTGTGTAATTTATCATATTGATGATGACTGTAAACTGGCGTCCCTCATGTAAACAATGAGAATCTATTATCATTATCATCACGAAATGTCCCTTGATACTGATATCCGCACAATATGATTGGGCGAAGCGATATGCTAAAAGTGTGTCTCAGTTAGATCACATGACGCGGACACCAACATAACTAGCCAATAAATAGGAATTCCCACCAATCCAGATAACATAACACATTTTTTAATAATTACTGGCAAAATATTTCCGAGCGGAATTTCAACAGGACGTGATATTTAAGTTCAACCCTTTAAGCATCAGGTTTTCTCATTTTCATTGGTTAGAGCAGTGGAGGTCAGTTTGATATTCGATTTGTCCTTGGTAGGTGATGTCGTGTGCAGCCTTGTGTGCTTGTTTCATGCATTGTTTGCCAGCAGATCTGATGAATATAAATGTAAACTTTGACTATTCTAACGCTTTGTTTTTCTTTTTTGTGCATGTACTAGGCTTGGTTCGTCATACACTCCGTTGTTTGGCCTATCGGTTGCTTCTGATGTCAACGAACCCCTGGGTTCTTGTGCCTTTCTAGAATTTTGGTTATACGTGCGGTATTTTCTTGATGTATACTGATCAGTCATGTACTTCAATATTGCTTTTTTACGGAATTATTTTGAAATAGTTGTGGCATAGGTGGAAACCGATTGACAAAGCCGTTTTAGTTCATTGCAGGTAGTCAATAGGAGTGAAAGCAGCGCAGACCGAAGTGGAATTTTTGGCGAATTAATGCTTGGAAGGCGTTTCTCCAGCTGAGAGGAATTCGAGGAAATCATTAGGAGAATTTCAAAAAATGAGGAAGTCATTTAATGCTTACAATGCAGTTGTCCTGCACTCACTATGTTCATATTCATAGCAAAATAATAGACGATGACAGACTTAAGTACGCTTACGTTGGTTTCAAATGCCCTATTGGAGTGAATCATAGAAAAGATGGCTAGAATTTGAGAAATAAGTCGTAAGGAGAATTGTCAAAGTAGTTGAAGATTGAACGATCAATTGATGGTTGTTTGCTCAAACCCAACTCCTCCACATTTTTCACGGGAGTCATCAATCCATCAGTCATCGTCTCATCGTTCACTGTTCAGTGGAAGATCGAAAACTATCAGAAGTATTATCGTGATTTATTGTTATAACACTTATTCTTAGACCTTGTGTGTAATAACCTTATTGTTGGTTACATATTGGTGTAAGAATAAAGGATTCTCGAGTCGCCAATCTGTGTTCTGGTTTTTCGCGTTGGTTATTACAAATTGTTTCTGAAAGTCTTCGAGGGACAGCGTGAGGTCCAGCGTAGTAAGAGCTGGACATTGACAGTTTCTGAGAGTCGGCTGACAGTTTCTGATAGTTTTTGACGGTTTCTGATAGTTTCTGTTTGTCTTTCCTGGTGCCTGCTAGTCTTCTTTGGACAAGTGTTATCTGTAACTTTTCTGGAATTTTTGGTCAAGTTCAATGATGCCTGGGTCATGGAAGGGACAAAGCGTCTTGAAAGCAAGCAGGAAAGTAAGTGATGTTCAGTTGTCTGCTACATGTAATGATGTGTGTGATGTTAAGCATGATAAGGTTGATGTTAATGTTTCGCCGTCTAGGGATAATAGGAATATTAAACTGCCTAAATACGAGCCTCGGTGTTTCGACGGAAACCCAGCTGACTATTTACAGTTTGTAAAGGACTTTGAACACATGTTGAGTAGTTTTTTATTAAATGATGAAATGAAGTTGACATTCAATGGCATTCCACCGACTAACGCTGAACGTTGAAATGCCTATTCGGTCTCGTAATGTGCATGCCTTGAATTAATATATCCTTTATCTCAGATATTAAGTCATTGCATCACTCTTTATAACTGCTGTTTTGCTAGGACCACCGTATATACATATCATGAACACACTACTTAGGAACGGTGCCATAATTCTACCTAACAAGGGCCATAGCTGCTGGTTAGAAGACTTTGAGATGGACAATCCGTCGACATTCAACTGCAGATCAATCTTGTTGTAGGGACTTTCAACCACAGACATCTCCATGTAGTGCTGCAAACATTTTTTGAAACCGATGTGGCAATAGATTCCGTCTCCAAGTAGTCTTGACTCGCAAGAGCCACTCATTCTCAGTAGACATATGAGTCTGTCTGCAGCTTCGTGGTCTCTAAATCCAATTTCTCTTTTCGTAGGTAAACGCTAGAATTGATGTGGACAGATGCTTCGGATTTCTTTCTTTTGATAGTGAAATTTTCTCTAAAATGGCCGTTGCAAGAAACCGGAAACATTGAGTATACCGTGGAGTCAGAAGAACGCCGTATGTTTTTCAAGGAACACACCGGTCCTAACAGATCCATGGCTATTAAGTATCGTCGTGACACTGGCATTTGGAAAACATAATTATCTAGCAGTAAAATGTACTATAGAACTTCATTGAGTCGAGAGAGCCATCCCCTCCTTTTTTCAGGAAGATTGACGGGGAATAAATCAGCAAGTTACTGGAAAATGACATTACTATTCAAGATAGTACGAAACTACATCTGGTGGTGTCGTGTCATGGAGACTTATTGTTCGCAAAAGACTCACTGTTCGCGAACAATCACTATCAATTATCAATAACTCTACTACCATATAGTTGTGAAACTTATTTCCCACATGGAAATTCTAGCCTTAGAGATATGTCATAAGGGCTGACTAAACAATAAGGTTTGTACCTATTACTCTTCAAGGAATTCCCATAGGACTAAACTATACGACTTTAATTTGCCTTGGTAGTGCTAAAACACAGCGAGGAATTCTCTGCTGACGAAGTGGGGATACTAGAAAACTAGTAGAGAATATCAAAGAAAAAGCGTTCGGAGAAGATTTACTCTTTTCAGCAATATCACTTTCAAGCCGTAAGATCACATACGATATAACCGAAAAGAGCAACTCTTCGCTGAACGCCCTTTCCTTTTTACGACTTAACAGTAGAGCTAGACGTGTTGTAATCCTTATAATTTAAATAATCCACCGAAAATTGTGAGTGTCTGATCTCTTCATGAACAAACCACCACCTGACTTTTTTCTAAAGCCTTTGATCCTTCCAACATGCCAGAATGACGAGTAATAAGAAGACTTGGAAACGTCCTAGTGGCTTCACGCACCTGGCACCAATCGCCAGTCTCAGATTTCACAAAGATTTAGATTCAGATTTATTGGTTGAGGATGGAAGGTTTGAAGCCTGTGTTAATCCTTTTCTTGTAAATTTCTGTGCTTGTCCGAACCCTTCTTGAACGAATCAGGTGAGGATGCAGACAGCACTTCTTCTGGGAGTCGGTTCCAGCATTTCATGGCTCGTTGTGTAAACCAGTACTCAACAGCAGTATGGTTTCTCCATGATTTTGAACCCTCGTGCTATGTCCTCTAGGGTGTTCCGACCATATGGGAAGGAAAAGAGATAATAGATCAGGCCCGTAGTTGACATTTGAAATTTTAGACATTGTAATTAAATCTCCTCTCTGCCCACGGTATGATAGAGAGAAGAGATTTAAATTGTCCAGTCTTTCGTAGTATGGTAAGCTAGTCATGTCGAGAATCATACGTGCTGCCTCCCTTCGAACCCTTTTTAGAATATCTGAGTTTCCTTTAAAACAAGAACTGGCTGCCTGTATACAGTTCCCCAGTCTTGGTCTCACCAGAGATGTATATAAAGAGGTAAACCTATCTAAGGCTGAAGAAATTAGGCCTGTTCACACTTTGCTACTGTCGGCTTAGAGGGGATTTGATTGCTGAGCAGAATCACCCAAACAAAGGTGTTCTGCCATTGAGTAGGTATAGGCTCCCACGTGGAAGTCCCAGAAGGATAGCTCACCAGAGGGCAAGAACCCAGGTGCGCTCCCACTTCTTTTCACTGCGGGTCTGCCGTCCCTGGAATTCCTTACTGGCAGATGTAGCTATGGCACCGTCTTTAGACACCTTTAAGCGAAGGCTGGGCAACCATGCAAGGACTGCATCCAAATGGCCTAACCCCTTAAAATCGCACACATCATTCAGGGGTAGACAATTAAACTCGTCGTTTTACTTCTTTACATCCTCTCCCGTCTTACTCTCCTGACAACTTGTTAATGTTATTATTATTACCGATATATATATTTATTATTCTTCAAATATAATCAGCTGACTGCTAATTGATCGTGTCTGTAGAAATGGAATGCATTTTCATGTAAATTTATATGTTTATATGAAATATGCATTATTATTTCCTATTCCCGTTTCTGTCTGTTAGTCTGAATAACTTCACTAATTATACCTATTATTAGCATTATTATTATCTCTTTTCTCTTGTCGACGATACCGGAGGACTAACTGGCGAAAGGATCAACTCCATTCACAGTAGTAACAGTCTTAACACACCTCATACTACAAACCACATATAATTGATCCCAGCACTACTCCCTTTGGAGCCAACCAAAGCTACGACAGTCGAGTGGCGGGACGAGCTACTCAGAAGTTTACCAAAGATCAGGAACCTATACCTTACAATCATAAAGCAAGCACAAAGAAATCAAATTGGTTTATACTAGCTCGTAAAAATGATATTGGATATTGGATCTATAGTGGTTCCATTAAAGGCGCTGAAAATTTCCCGAAAGAATCTGAAACAATGTGTAGCCAACGCGTGTGAAGAGATGGAAAATAACCAGAAAAACAAAATAGCGGAAGGAGGCGGAATATAGATGTGCATGCATACAAAATATTATTCAGCTGTTCTAATCCAGCCTCTTTTGGAAATATTGTACATCGTATATTGGATTCCGACGCAATATTTCTCGTGTACGCTACTTCACTGTGAAGGTTTAGATTTATGTCTTTATCTCTAGATGACAAGCTCTTGGGGGAAAAGGTCCACAACTACTGTAGTAGTAGCAGTGAAGATGAAGAAGAAATTGAAGGTGGTGGAGAAAAAGAGGGGACACAAAATAATACTCCCGAGCTTGTGAATCCACCTATAATAGGATATCCAAACCGTCCTCAGGTACCTTATATATAGTAATAAAACATCCCTTTAGACTGGACCTAAAGGTGTTGTTTCTGATTACAAGCAGTTCAAGAAATTGGAAAGAGAAAAGGTTGCTGAGAAGGAGAGGAAAGTCTTAGAGTATGCGAAGAAACATTCTCTTAGCTGTAGACCATACGTAGGTTCTTGAGTAACATTTAATTTTCTCCCTTAGAGTGAGGATGTAAAGGAAAAAGAGAAGGAGCAGGATGTAATAAAATCATCAGATGACGATAGTGATGATGAGTTTTTGACACAGTATAGACAAAGTCGGATGAATGAACTTATGAACGCTAGAGAATGTTTGTAGGTCTTGAAGTTAAACATGCTGATTTTTGAAGACCCACTTTTAATAAAATTTATGATCTGACGGTGGACACATTTGTTAGAGAGATTGATGACACACACAAGGATACAACTGTCGTCGTGTACATATACGAAAACGTAAGTGGTTTCGACTCTATATAAATTGTAAAGGGTAATACATCTTGCGCAAAAGTGAATGCTTGCTTGGACACAATATTCCAAGAATATCCACATGTGAAGTTCTGCAGAATAAGAGCTTCTGATGCCCGTCTCAGTTACAAGTTTGTAAGTTGATGCTTGGTGTTTTGAATAGCCGTTATTTTCGTTTTTTTTTAATGTTTTTAATTCTGTGGATGTGATGTTTTCTGGTGTTAAGTTATTTTTTCGTTAATTATTGGCGCATTTATTGTCTTTGAGTATTCCTTTATCTGGTTATCTTCGATAAGTTGAGGTATGAAAAGTTCACTAGGAGGAGTATTTCCTTCAAAGTTAAAAAAGTACTTGCTGATAAGAATAGTTTTATAACAGGCATTGGCATAGATAAACATTCACTAATCACTTCGATGTTTACACACTTCAACTTTTGACATCGGTAAAAAGGATATAAAGTATCAAACTTCCAAGTTTCTTTGAACTCAGTGTTTCAATCAGTCACACTCCTGTTCTACAAGAGGACTTATATTTCTAAATCCTGAATCTTAATCCATTTATATATAATGAAAACACGTCGTATCAAAAACATTTCAGTGTCCACTGAATCCCATTTGACTACCAGTGCCATGTAACATAAAAGTATATGAAGTATTTGTTTTCTCAATGACTTCCGACTACTCTTAATGTTTCACTAGCTGTCTAGATCTTGATGAAGTCATTAATTTTTGATATATTTTGACCCACAGTTTGCAACCTCTTTTTTACAGTCTCATCATGGTGTTCCTGCTATTCTAGTCTATAAGAATGGCGAATTGATTGGCAATATGCTCAACATTACTAAGGATCTTGGCAAGGAGTTTTATCCAAATGATCTGGAGAATTATTTGATAGAGTAAGTATTGTGGGTATCTTATGCGGATTTTATGCTAATCATGGTCAGTAAATGCGTCAGTCGTTCACTGGCAGAATGGCTCGCCAGTCATGCTGGAGGTTTGATTTCGATTCGTGGGTGATGCATTCCCAAACCTCCCTCAGCCAATAGTAAACCTAGTAAAGAAGGAAGGTTAAGTGTGAGATCCAGTAAAAATACCGATTCGGGTAAAGCTTCAGAAAGCTTTGAGCTCCATGTTCCACTCGGGACGCAATGAATATAAAAAACTAAGTTTGCAATGAATTCTTTTGTTTTCTGTTAAAACAACTTAAGTACAACAATTCCTTTTTCGCTGATCACTACTTCTTTTTATTTTGGTTTTTCGAAAGATTTCATGATTAACTGCAATGGATAGATGTGATTGTCCATACAGTTTTCCTGTTTTGTTTCTTAACAAGTGGTACCAAATATAACCAGTATTTAAATAAAAGGTGGTATGATTCTAAATGGTCATTTATTTAGTGGTCTGGTTTTTTATTAGACTTTATCCATGGATAATCCCGATACAAATATTTAAGGGAAAACAAGTATTTTGGCGAAGAAGCCCTTTCCACCGAGTTCATTTATATGCATTTTCACAAATGAGGATAGCAACGAAAGGGATGTGTTGTTGTAAGCATATTTGCTGATAATATTCAGTACATAAGGGAATTTCTAACCGAGCGATGCTGGGGACATCACTCGTACCAAATTCCCATGAAACTTCATGAACTCTCTTACAAATTGCCGCGCCTGGGCAGCGATGATTCGAGACGTTCATGAAGCCGGCTCATCCTCCCGTAGGAGATAGCCGAAGTAAAGTAAAGTAAGTATAAGGGAAGTTGAATAAGAGCAGTGATTACGTAGCGAGATAAATTATTCAATGAGTGGGTTGTAATTGGGATGTATATTAGAAATACAGGAAACGTGATACTACGTAGAGATTCGAAAGGGTGAAAGAGTTAGGCAGTGTTAAAAGTGGTTGAAGTCTCTTTTGTATGCAGTGCTCCAGTACCTCAGTCTGGATGGTCAAGTCTTTCACAGTGCGTGGAAGACGAAGGGGTATTGTCTTCAGCAGGTTGATATTCACTTTGTAGATCACTTTGAAAGGGAATTTTATTGAACATTGAGTGGATAAAGTGTTCAGCTGTTGTAATCCGTTTCATCCAACTACAGAGGCCTTGTTAGTTTATGTCAGTCCTTTATATCCAGACTTAATTTATTTTACTCTCATTTGTCTTCTCGTGGAAACACGCTGTACACATCAAATTTTAATCGGTAGAAAACATCGGGTTAATAATTTATACAATCAATTTAGGGTCAGGAAATATTTCTCTTATATATACTTCACTTATTCGCTTAAACACCTGCTGAAGCAATTTGCATCCCAACAAATTTGTATTTAACTCTCCGTAATATTCGCCTAATAAGATCAAGACACTATTTTATGATTAGGGAAATTTTTAAGATGTTAAAAAGTTGGTGGTGTTGAATTCACGATTTCAAAATCCTTTTAATAAATTCTGGGCAAATTGAATGATGTAATCGGGCTCGTTTCTTGATATCACATTCATTTGTTCAAGTTTAGCATGAAATAAATCAAGCATCAATTAGACCAGATGCTTTATCGACTTGGGGCATCCATTTCGTTACCTGATATTTGCGCAAAATTGTTGGTATAGAGAGAAACATGACGGAAGACAGTGTAATTAAAGGTTGTAAAGATGACGTTAGAAAAAAAGTAATGTAACTAAGTTGGAGATAAGCTGTAGTTGCTCCTGCGATCGTTTCCGAAGTATAATACTGCAGGTGCCTATTTATAGGCTGTAGTTGTTGTATCGTTACCACTTGTGAAAGTCAACCGACGAGGTTGTGAAGCTGCACTGACTGAGAAGCCTGGGATATGTATTACAAATACCAAGCCATTGTTTTCTTATTCAAGCAGTTTTTAGCTGACATACGATTAAAGTTGGAGAAGAGATAGAGATGGTCGAGTCAAACAAGACAACATCAATTCGCTAAGTCTTTGGCCTTTCGTTTGGGTCAGGTGGGGAGGTATAGACTACATGGCTGAGATCGTTCAGAATCTAGGAATCAATGACCGGAGACTGTTGGTCATATATGTCGGGAGCGTTCTCGCAGGCGCACATATGTTCACTCCTTGTAATCTTCCCGATTCATTGTATTCTTACTACTCATGTAATTATTTTCCCCCTTGCATTTCTGCTTATAGAAGTCTCTTAAAATTTTCGTTTCATGTTACGTTTATGTATGCTTTCATAAAGCTTTACAACTGCCTGAACTACACTTTTGCGAAGTTCTACGTTGAAAATTGAGAATTGCATTTGAATCAGGGCATAAATGACAAAACAATACGTGCTAGAATTTACTCAAGTTATCTGAACTTGTCTTTTCCCAACAAAATCTTTTATTTATCGCAGTTTTATTGCTCAGCAGTTTGCTCCGTCCTTCTCTATGGCTCTGAAACATGGCCAATACGAGTTGAGGACATGAAAATGTTGACTGTTTTCGATCATAGGTGTCTACGGTCTCTTTCTCACGTTAGGTGGTATAGTAAGGTAAGTAATGTTGACGTTAGGCGTAGTGTTGGGCAAAGAGGGAAAATCAATCGACGAGGCTATAAAGTTACATAGATGGCATAGAGATGGCTAGGTCACGTGGTGCGCATGCCTAACCATCGCCTCCCCCGCCCGACGGGCATTACTAGCTGATATAGGTGCAGGTTGGAAAAGAGTAAGTGGTGGCCAAACAAAAACATGGCATCAATCCATGAAATCCTTGACAGTTAAACTGAGTCAGGTCGGGAGATTCAGACTTCGGGATTGGGGCCCTTGGGACTCTAGGAACCAATGGCTGGAGACAATAGGTGACATGACTCAAAATCGTTGTCAATGGCGCAAATGTATTCAGTCTCTGTAATCTTTCATATTCCTTTCCACCATTACCCATTCTGTTTCGCTCTTATACTTGTCAAACTCTATTGATTCCCTTCGCTCATCTTCTTGTCTACCTTTGGAACGTGGCGACTCGAACTGGTGCACTTCGGTGCCAAGTTCTGTGCTGAATCCAGACAGACAGATTTATCGCAGTGTTGAAAACTGTTTTTATTGTGTAAATCATAAAAGTAGGATTATTCTTAGTACTTCATACCGCCGGTATCCATAATTTGTTGGTTAATATAGTCTTTCTAACACACTTAATGAGGGTGTTTGCCTCACTTAAATACTAAAAGCATTTTGGCTGGGGCATGGAAATCGGTTCATTAGTAGAATGCTTGTCAAGACCGATGCAATTCTGGACCTAGTCTAGATTACTATTCGATGGAAAGCCGGGAAGGGAGGAAAGGTTTGATATGAAACTAGCAATTCCGCCATGTAAAAACATTATCTCAGCTGAAACTGTTAAGGCTTAAAGTCTTATGTTCCACTCAGAACGGAAGTAATGAAAAGCGTAGACACTGTAACCATTAGTTCGCTTTCTTCCGTCAAATAGTATTCTATTTTTTCACTGTATTCATTGCTGAATTCTTCGAGTCTTTACTTGCTTTTCATCTGCATTTATTTTATTTTCAAACACAAAATAATGTTTATGTAGATATGGGTTTCTGCCGGACAAAACACTGGTTCAGCCTACTATATTGAAGGATTCATGTTCTCGCTCTTGAAGAATTGCATTTGATACGAATCAGTCCATTTATCGTTTTCTCTATTTTATTTCCGTTAGTATTATACTTGTTCTTTTCTTGTAACTTTTATTTGAATAGTATATATATATATATATATATATATATATATATGTAAGGATATTGTAATGACTTTTCAGGAAAAATAAACAGTACTCACAAATAATATATTTGTTTTCTAAGTTGTTGTACTTGTTTAACTTAGGTTATTGTTGGTGAGTATGATTTGAGGAGATAGGTTATTGTTAGTAGGCTCTGTCGTATATTTTGTTTTAAACTGAGGTCATTATATCCCGTGCGAACCCGGCCGATAGCAGTTGGACCTGCATATCGCAATAAGTCAATGAGCTACACTGGATGGAATAAATATTCTTGCAAGTCCTGTCATGCCAGGAAGGTCGTTTGAATACTGATCAGGCTACCGTTGCAGTCTAAGTCGCTTGGAGTATGTTGGAATTCTGAGGGCGAAGTCGTACTACTGGTGAGTAGGGATGTAACAGCAGTAAAATATCCCCCCAGGCCTATCAGCAAGCCAATTCTCTCCTGGTGGGGTTGAAAAAGGTCGACCCCGTAAGTTGTACATGTCGACTCACATAACAGCAACACGTAGCCGGTGGTAATGTCTTCGGAAGGACGCAACTCTACAAACCATTTCGGACAGACCGTGTATGACTGGTATCAATCAGTTATCCAATGGAATTTGCGGTGATGCAGTTCTGTCTCTTAAGTACCTCAAGAAGAAATCAACTCCCACTGTATGGGCAACCGAGAAGTAATAGCTGCCCAAACACTTCTATAAGTTCGCAAAGTTTCCGTGAATATCTCTCGGACTCGTCCTGCTCAAAGTCGGAGACCTTTTAGTTGCTACATGATCTGGGTTTTTTAGTTGCTGAACCTGAACTACGTCTGACTGGTCAAACCAAAAACGCGGCATCAATCCATGAATTTGTTGACTCTTGGTATAACCCATGTAGATGCATTCACTCTCTTTAATCTCCCAGCTTCACTAGATTCTCCAGTACATTCCCGTTTATTATAGTGTCTTGGCATCTCCTCTTTATCTACTTTTATGCTTGTGTGCCTTATTTAGCGCAATGTTTTGCGTCAAGAATTCGGTCAATTTGTTTGAAAGTATTAAAACTATGTAATTCTACCCCCCCCCCCCCATACAAAGGATTTTAAAGCAGTAACAGAATACTTATGTACACAGAACTTTTAGCAATCATCTTTCCTACCCCTCCCATTTCAATAGGAAGGAAATATATAGCTAAAGTGTTGATCATCTAAAGGTAAATATCTTCCAACCACCTGTATGATTTCGCTTTCAGATTAACATCAAAGTGTAAGCTACTTATATAATAACTGCGAATTCCTTTAATTTTGTCGTTACCAAACAGACCGTTCTAATATGATAGGACCTCAAATAACAACCGTTTTATCGAACTGGTTTCATTTCGAATCACCAAGATATTCTACTTTTTCCACCCAATATAATTGCCAGCTGTTAGTCGTAGATTTATGATGGTTTTACGGCTGGGTTCCACATGGTGACTGAAATCCACTATTGGAGACAATAAGTGATACGTCTCAAAATTAGGCGCAAAATCATTCATATTTTATTTTGATAATAATATGATATTCCCTCATCTGATATACCTTTATTTTCTTGTCTAATGGCATTTTGTAGCTTATAATTACTTTAATTTCTTCCGTTTATCCCTTACCCTGCTTAGAAATGCTAAGTCTTATAGCTATCTAGTGTACATCACCTGACGGTTAGGAAACAGTGTTCGTCTCATATTAGCACGTATTACGTCGTCCGTGGTCCAATGGCTGAATGCTTACCAGCTGCACAGGTGTTCCGGGTTGGATCCACAACGAACACACTCCTAAACGTCACCTAGCTTACAGCCAGTAGTACGGACGGAAGGCGTACGGTTAACAACCAAGTCCCGTGAAAATAACACAACTACTGAAACCTCAAAAAAATCTTAAAACTATATTTCACTTGGGACGCAAAGGAATGAAACCAGCACCTTTTATCGGAGCAAAGAACTCTGCCAGCGACTATTTCTGGTCCTATAAGTGGATCGAATTACTTTGAGAATCTGTGAAGTATGCGGGAATACGTATATTATTCCCAGCGTACCTTAATACATACAAAACGGAAGGATAGTAATCAAATTAGTCATTCTCAACTTTTGCAACTCAAGATGAAATTGCACAACTTTTGGAAACAAAAAGTATTCAGATCACAATACGTAGTCTGGTTGATACCATAAATGGTAACCAAGAAAGCGAACGAAATAGCATGGTTCTGCATACTACTAACTGATTGATGTGAGTGGCTGGAAACCATTCACGTCAAACGCTAATCTCCATTAGCCAGATTGTGAAGTAATCTAAACACTGGACGACCATTTCGCTAGTTTTTGGAGGTATTTTCATCAGGAGTGTATCTGTTTAAGGATACAATAGCTGAGATCTTCGTGCATAATTATTAAAGTATTAGTTTCGTCAATAAATAACATGGTAGTAACTTCTTACATATTACATGATAAATACGTTTCATTACGAATTAGCACCCGTAAGAAATAATAGGACATTAAATTCCAACCCAGTGAACGATTGGTGATGTTATCCAGTTTTGGAATAAATAACCGAGCAGCTGATTAACCGGTATTTATTTAAGTTAATTGATTGATTATATCTTACGGAAATCATTGGTCTCTGTTGACATGTCTAGTAATAGTAGATGCCTGATGTTGATGATAGTGACTAGCAGTGGAATCCAGCATGCGAATTTCGTCTTATTCTGGACTCGTCATCTGGAAAAGTAACATATATAGCGATGTCTTATTGGCTTTTTTCTTAAAACCAAAGTCGATTAAACAGAGTCTCAACAGTCGCAAGCTTCATACATTTATTCCCCTTGATGAATTTGAATAAAGCTTACTTGTTTTTTGTACTTCAAAGAGCTCATATCATACGCGTTGTTTAGTCACTGGGATGTAGCCGTCAACATGTAGCTTAGCATTGGAACCGACTGAATTTTTCTCAGTGTGATCGTCAACAAGCTAGAAGACTCGTCATGAGTCTGAATAGTTCAGTGGTAACGGGCCTGATTGAAACTCTAGGTGGCACGATATTGAATCTTTGGGGCTTCAGATCCGCCTTGCTGGTGAGTGAGGATACATATATATATATATATATATATATATATATATATATATATATATATATATATATATATATATATAGTGAAATGTTTGTTTCTGTATTATTATGTTCGACTAGAGACAAATTGTGTAAAGTGAATGATTTTCAAGGTTGTGAATCAGTAAAATAAATAAACAGATAGACAGATTAATATATCCTAAATTCAATAAAAAAATTAGACAAAAAGTAAAGCAATAAGTAAACAAAAATAAAAACTGTACACAGGAGAGAAATAAATAAATGTACTTTGAATTAGCAGTAAGTCTTATATTGCTTTACATTTCGGGAAAATTAAACAAAAAAGGAATGAAGATTGAGTGTTTTAGGAAATAATAATGATATAGAAACAAAATTATCCATTATCTTTGGCGCCAACACACAAGCATTTATACATGAATAATGTACACACAATCGTATATATGTAAAGAAACGGAAACAAGTATCAGTCAAACAATGGAATTGAAAGGAAAAGAGATATGTTCAGGTGGATCAAAGAACTTTATTATGTGACGGCTGAAGAGTAAGTGGGAGAGACGGGTTTGAACCTGGAATGCGTTAATCAGTGAGTCATATTAAGGAAGACAGTCTCTACTTCATCTATTTGTGTTTTTATATTTTACAAGAATACTGGAATCTCCGTTATTTCGCTTTCGGAGTGGTGGAAGACGTCATCAGGGCATCTGCTCATCGTTACTTTTTTTCGGATGAGGAGGGAGGGAGGGAGGCAATAGAAGAAGTGGAATGAAGTAAAAATTCAGGGAAAACATAATATTGAAAATCTCTTTTTTTTCTAAGGAAAAATAAAGAAGAGAAAAGTCGACATTAGGCTTATTTGTGATGGAATCATTTTTTTGATTGTAGTGATTTCAGGTGTTGTAATTCAGCTGTTAGAGCTTCAATCTAGTTTGTTTAAGAAGTAAAGAAAAGACAAACCAACATATTACAAAGTGTGCGCAACAAATCTGCAAAATATTATTAAAAATTATAAATTACCCGCAAATAACTGGAAGTAAGCTTAGTGATGATGCACGTATACGCTGAATTCTTGCAGTTGTTTTACTGTCTACATGATTTCAAAATATTATTTACTGGTTCAGATCACTTACACACAGTGACTAAGTGATTAACTAATAATTGATAGGGTCATTTTTCTTTGTTATTCAATCAGATACTCTACAGTATTTTCAACAGGTAAAACAGATTGTCATTAGAGACTAAGTATCCTTTCTTTTTTTATTACTTTTACTTACTTACACCATCCTTTATCAAAATGAACTTAACTCACTATACATTTCTTCATGCTTCGTTTGTTTACTTACTAACCATTTTTTAATAACTTACATAGTATTATAAGTTATACACCTCAATACCTTGCTGCATCTCATCTTTTCAATAAGGTTCACAGACGCATTGCATATACAAACCAACACTTGAACATTACAATAATTCACTATACTTAACTAACTTGATATTTAGATTCATCTATATTTATATTACGATCATTCTTAATTATTGTTTAGCATTTATTCCTGTCTAGTGAACAAAAAGTATGTATATGTCAAAATTGTAATAAGAAAAAACGACCGAATTTCATTATTCATGTTGTAAACAGGTGATAGCGACAGAGAGAAATACACTGATAAAATAAAACGGATCCGTTTTACTTCGCTTCATGTGGTGTTATTGCCTAGCGTAAGTTCATTAGGGGTATACTCTTATGTCTAAGACGTATGCATCGAAAAGTATTTATGTAGTCATAATGAAGCGAACAAGATTGACAAAGGTGTAATATCTGACACCACGCGTCGCGTATTCAAGCTAGCCGTACAAAACATATCCTACCAGCGATTTTTTCGATTCCGTCTTCCCTTTTTCTTCTCTAGAACTGCTTGCATCCGACTGTGTTATAATATGAGGAATTATAAAGTCTAACAGCATGTCTTTGCTACTAGTGGAGATTGTCTTTCATTGAGTGATGTCATCATCTGACACTGAATACGATGGTTTGGACACGTACTATGAGGTTAAGCGCGAAGTGTTGGGTAAATTGGTTCGATTGACATGGCTTGGAAATGTGTTCCTTACGCATGCCAAGCCATCAAATTACTCAGCAAGCAATGTTATCTGACATGGGGTTAGGTTCAAAAAGAGTAGGTCGGAACAAAACGCGGCACCACCCCAAGAATTTTCTCTTGATGACTTAAGTCATGCAAAGACAATATGTATGTGAATACGAATACTAGCTCAACTTACCTTATCTTTTAATATCTTATTCTCTGTTGCATAACGATTAATTAAAATATTATGCTGAAATGTACTTGAGCTATTTACAGGTGAGACTGATACATTCTGAAAATTTATAGATTCATTAAATGTGTTCAATGGATGTGATGTCTTTTTTTCAACCTGTGCATCGGTATTATGTTCAGCATAGATTTGAAATATTCCATTTTCTGTTAGTGTGATGACCAAGCCTTGTTGTAAACAAAACTGTTGAATAAAAATTGAAATAAAGAAAAACGAAATAGGATGAAGGAATTCATTTTATGTATTAGTGGGAATTTATCCCTTTATTCTTATTTTCGCTGTACAGAAAAGAAGAGTCATTAGTTGTAGTTCAAAGTATTATTCATCATTCGAATGTAGGATTATAGAACACTATACAATGCTAGGTGAGTGAGTGGTTCACTGGTAGAGTGCTCACTAATCCTGGGGTGGTCTGGGTTTGATTCCAAGTCGACACATGTCTAAACCACCTGCCCAGCTCGTAGTAAGCCAGGAAAAGAAGGAAGGTTAGGCGTGATTTCATATCCCAATCAAAATGCAAGGAATGAAAAAAGGATACAATGCTACGTGCATGCTTCTGTTTCTAAAAGGTAGATTTAGTCACAGTCTAAAATCATTTAATAAGCCACTAAAATCTATAAAGCGTTAGAAAAATATTTCGTTCTGGTGTAGGACTATTCAGCAGGAGTGTGCACCCTAACCCTAAATGGTTTAAACGAAGATTAAACAGCTACTTACTGACATTTCATTCTCAATTTTTTTCTCTGATTGACATTTATAATCACTGGAAAGACAACTTCAAAAACTAGTCGAATTATAGGTTTCCAGACCGTAGGTGTTACGAACTTCCTGGAATAATTTGAGCGTTGAGTCAGACTGATTCATTATAAATTATTTAAAAAAAATTTCTTAACACGCTGGGATCAATTTAAATAATTTATAATGGACTAGTCGAATTGTTAGCTAAATACAGTATAATATGGAATGAGCGAATAGTGAGTAGTCACGGTTTGAGTAATAGACTTAAATTGGTTGGAGGTATAACCATTAAAAAGGTTTAAAGCTGTTTTAATGTGTTCAAAAATAGTTTGTTATTACTTGGAGGCTACCTTGGTAATCCAATTCAAAACTAAGGTTTATTTTACTTAATAGTATTTCCACCCACTTTTCTTACCTCTTATCCGTAATTTTGATCCGTAAACGACCTTGACCTTTTATATTCTGTTACCTTTTATAGAAATACGTGTGAAAGTCACATGCGTTTGATCAGTATATCTGATATGTGTAGCCTACACTACACGTTTCAGATAAATTACGTTTTCTTATTGTTTCGTGGAATATCTGTGCATTATTGTGACCATTTAAATATAAAGAAAAGATTACTGTACTTTTGATTTGCTTTTTTAATGATCAGTGGATTTCAGTTATGTAGACCAGATTTTTCACGTACCAGGGCCATAGACTGTAATTTTATTGTTTACCTATATTAAAGTGGATGAGTTGAGGATTTGAACTCTACAACTGGTTGAAACCGAAGTGCTTAAACGAGATCTATGCGAATAATCAAGCCGAGCCCTATGCCAGAAAGCCAATTTATACGACATTTAATGGGTCTGTAGCTCAACCTGAGTATGTAGCATCTAGCAGCAACACACTGTCTAGAGTATGAGCATTGAATATCTGACATTCTCATAACTCCCTTCAAGAAGACTGATGTTATCCCGCTCTCCGAATGTCAGGCTTCAAAGTCTCTTGTGAACACTGATCCATCTTCGCGGGTTAGGACAACTTGCAGGATAACTATAAGTAATTCCTCGTAGAGTGGATATTCCTTAGGGGATCAGATTCAAGTAGGTAAACTGAGTTGCGAATCCTGAACCTACTGACTAGAAGTCGCGTTGTTTAAACCAGTATGCCACACACTTCCATAAGTAATAGAGAATCTTGAAAAAAAGGTACACTTTAATAATGATCGTAAAAATTTGCATACCTGTTTTAAAAGTTGTATCTTTTCAGAATTTTCATTAGTATCTGAAGAAATAAGTCTCACTTTTAAGCCTCCTTCTTTCATTAACACACTAAATGCACATTTTGGAGGTGATGCTGATGAGCTATTGCAATTAGTATTATTATCATCCTTATTATTGGAAATCATTTGTTTAATACCTTCATGAGTATTAATCTGTTTCCATAGTTGTATACATAATTGTTGTATTGTTGACGGAATATCAAACTCCCAATTAGCCAATAGAACAGCTCTAGCATACATCCATGGGTAATTATAATCCGAAGGTTTAAGTAGTCTGGATGATAGTCCAGAAGAAACAGGATCTCCGCCAAGACTTAAAAATACAGACCATAAGTGGGTGCTAGATGACTGTGATGACATAGTAGTAGTACACCTCAGTTTATTATTTACATCACCAGCTGGCACGACAGAGTTTGAATGTTCTTTTCCTACTTCTTCAGATTGAACATATGCTCGAAGTGATTTACACAAAATCCAGAATCGTGATTCCAAATTGCTGGCATCTAAAATAAAAAATTTTGAAAAATTAGAGAGAGAAAATCAAGAAAAAATTGAACAGGGACCAATGGATTATTCTGAAGAATGTGCCAGATAGTAACATCAATAGTGCTACCATATACAAGGAGGAAAACTGAAATCTGTCACAGGGAGAAATAAAAAGTGGCATTTAAACCCACTTATAAGGATCCGGTAGAGCGCGTCAATGTTTGTAAGTTTCGATGTATAGATGAAAGCAGTAGGAAAGGGTGAAAAGCTTAGCTAAATCTACACTAGAAAACACTTATACGATAAGAAATGTAAAAAGACCGTTTATACCACTAATCCATGCTGCTACATACAACGAAGTAATAGGTGGGACAGAATGATAATCCTAAAATTTAATACAACAAGATGGAGGGAGAAACTGATAATTTATTTAGTAAGAATGATTCAACACCTGTCCTGGACATGTGAAAAATTCGACTACTTATACAACAAATTGGAAAGAAGAAGGAGAACTTTTAAACCGGAGTATCAAAGTTGTGTCGTTAAAACTAATGGTATAATTATGAAAAATAAATTGAGTTTCACAATTTGTCATCCAGTAAATGATACTGGTTTACAGTCTGTGTGATGTATCCGATAAACAGGCGAAGTTGACCATTCAGCTACTGGGTTGGAATGCAGTGACCTCTCAATTCTAACTTCTATCGATTCACAAGGTATAGCTCCACCTTCAATCAAGATCATTGGTGAGTATTTGCAGTTATGGTTCCCCTGTGTGTGCACGTTAACATTTAAGTGAATTTAGATCTGGGTAACTAAAGATAATTTAGGAAAATAAAAGATTTATTTTCAAGTATTGATTTGTAGGGATTTTGTTTGATTGATTGGAGGATTTCGTCACGATCTGACATCGGCTAGAGAACCAATGGAAAACCTGAGAGTACTGGATAGCTGTTTTCGTCCTAGTTCGGGACTCCTCACAGTACACAGTCACTGGGGTTCATTTAAGCATAAACGAATGAATCAGATGGACTTCCTTGAAAAATTAAGGGGCGAGATAATATAAGTATTAATATACCTCAGGTGTATAACATGATAGCGTGTTGAGGAGTTTATAGACACCACACAGGTCAGGGTAGCGAAAGCATCTCAACTTGTTTCTTTTGTATACTCAGTTCCAGTTGTTTAAAGTGAACTGATATGGCACCTATTGTTAGAAGTATTCAGGAGCTATTCCCGATAGGCAATTTATTAGGTACGTAATAAGTAATGGGAAAAGCATTGTGTCATATGTGTAAATATAGCACTATTGATACTTCTTACTACAACCGTAATTGTTCCTGATAATAACTGAGAAATAACCGACGTAACTAGCTTCAGAATAGTAGTTGAGTTGATGAACTCAGAAAGGGAGAGAGATGGCTACACTAGGTACTTTTTCTTCAGACTCCATAACACAACTGAATGTGCAGTAAATATGTATCGCTCTCGCTATACATTAGATGGAAATCACAAAGGAAATAAATGCATTTTTAAATGTCCAGTGCTTATCCCTTTCATATCTTACCTGCTTCACACAAAAATCCATCCAAATAAATAATAACATTTGACAAATTCGACTGTTTCCACCTACAGAATTTCTCATTGTCATAATGATGATCATTAAAGTGATTTGTTGACTTCAATTGTTGACAATGTTCAATTGTTTGTGTTTTACCAGAATATGGTGTCTGCATGAAAACATCGAATTCCAGCATATCTGAACCAATTTCATCTGGACCTAATAACAGTGATGACGCTGAAGATGCTGATGACGAGTTGGAGGGTTGATGAATTTCCTCTTGTCGATTGTGATATTGTTGCTCTTGTTGTCGTTGTTGATAAGCGGAAGGCGGAGGATTTGGATTCGGATGGTAATGAACATTTGGAGTTCTATTATGTGATAACCATAGAATATCATTACTACCTTTAGTATAGGATGACTGAAGATTGGATAATACTTCGTACGGTTTAATCCAATCATCTGTTGAACTGCTAATACTTTGTACGTCGGATAAATCACTGGAAATTGAATATCTTTCATTTATATTATTAGTTGATGCATTACTGTACCAAACATCATCCTGTAAAGAAAGACAAGTGTGTGTGTGTGTGTTTAAGTAGGAGTTAGCCAGTAGTAAAACAAGCAAAACGTCTTATACTACTGACTACGATTGTTAGTAGGCTCATCTTATTCCTGAGAATACTTGCATGGTGTAGATGAAATTCAATTTTAAGGCAAAAATTGGGTTACTAGCAGAATAATACTGATGACCTATGAATTGTTTATTTCTTGCAGGTAATTGGGTAAGAAAAAACGCCCCTCTTATCTGCATTTTTCAAAACAACTCCCAGCACCATACACTGTTACGACACTGATAAGAAATGGATAAACACCTTAGAATTTATCATGAGAACACGAGTGAGCTATTCAGAAATCTATACATGAGTGATTGTGACTAGTAAAGAGGAAGAAGTGAATTATGATACATAATCAATAAAGAGAAACCATAATAGAATGATTTTATTTTATGCAGTAGCTGCTTTGGGCCACTTCAGTGTATTCATAAATTTACTTGCTTCCGTACAGTTGTTTATACTCGCCACACAAAGTGCACACATCAACCAGCAGTACTTGCTAGCCAGATTGAATTGATTCATCTGTCTGAGGTGAATCAAACCGGTTAAATAACTGACGACCTCAGCCAAAAACAAGAGAAAGGCCTTCCGGTGTTTAGAGTATTTGATGTCGCTAGCAAGCACTACTTGATTGGTGGGATTTCTATCTGACTGCCTATGTCAGTCAATCAGTGGTGCATATCATCAGGCATTTACATTCACTTTTCTGACTGCCATTATTAGTGTCAAGCAGATCACACCTTATGATCTGAATATTTTTTGTTTCCCAGGGAAACTGCTGAAATTTCACCTCGAATTTTGTAATTTGTAAATTGCATTCATCTAATTAAGTTCTTACCGTGTTTTTATTATATCTTTCAATTCATAGCGATTGTTAAGCATATTGATAAAAAACAAATGCGCAGTATGCATTTTACCACTCATCCACGTATGTTTCTTTCGGTAGCTTGATTAACATTCAAATTGCTAATCGCTTGGTTGGAATTCGTCTTTTTAGATGAAATCAGCCATGAGTCATAAAAATCTAATTAATTCTATGCTACAGTAGCTCATATTCACAGATTCTTTTTTTTTTATCACGATTCAGCGACAGTAATGGAACCATAGAGAAGAAACACTGAGATAATGGGCAACTCTTTTGTCCTAGTTTGAAAATCTTTGGTATTATGTCTTCATAGTCCCATGAGAATTCAATCTCATTACTTTCGTGTTAATCAGGGATCAAAATTAGTATTTTAAGGTTATGAGAGAAGAGTGTTACTGTTCATTCACTGGGTTCGGATTTAATAACGTGTGAATCCTCAATTGCGTAAATTCTCGACAAAACGATACTGTTCACCAATGTTATCGGCGGGTAAGTGTTCTCACACTACCAATCACCATTTCTTATTCAAAATCTAAAGAAGTCTGCCTTATAGACAGTCACCAGTGAAAAAGTAAGTTGATTTTGAAATGTTAGGTTTGCGCAGAGGCAAGGCTATCTATTATCGCCAATGATCTTCCTGATTGCAGTAAACCAGATAATGCGACAGACAACGGCAACCAACGAGGGAACAGGCATAAAATGGACTGACACAAAAAACTTGGAGGATCTGGACTTCGCCGATGATATATGTCTGATTTCCCACAAACTGGAAGATATGCAAGTGAAAAGCAACAAGCTGGCAGAAGAAGCATCAAAGATAGGACTTCAAGTGTGCGCCGGTGGCACAGTGGTTAGGACTCTCGCCAACCATGCACATGGTCCGAGGTTCGATCCCCTGCCGACGCACACCGGCCTGCAAAATTTGGGCTACCGATATCCATGCTGAAAATTCCATACTTGTACCAAAAATACATTGTGGCATAAAGCTGTAATCAAAAATAAAAATTAAAAAAATAGATAAAACAGAGGTGATGAAGATTCTTCGCCAACACCAACAGCAACAACAGACGACAGTCAGCATAAATGGGAGGAGCCTGAAAGAAACAACCTCCTTCACCTACCCGGGGAGCATCGTTTCAACTACAGGCGGAACTGACGAGGATATCAAAGCCAGAATCGGAAAAGCAAGACAAGCTTTCATTACTCTCAAATCTGTGTGGAGGTCAACAGCACTCACCATCAAAAATAAGATCCGGATTTCCAACTCCAATGTGAAGTCAGTGCTACTTGCTATACGGATCAGAGACTTGGCGCGTCAAACAAACTACAGATCTTCATTAACAGTTGTCTTCGCTCAATACTCAAGATCAGATGGCCAGAAAAGATCAGCAACAAAGATCTCCGGGAGCGAACCAACCAGGAAACGATTGCGAAACAAATAGGCAGGAAGAAGTGGAGATGGATTGGCCATATGCTGAGGAAACCATCAAGTGACATCACACGCCAAGATCTCGAGTGGAACCCCAATGGGAAGCGGCGAGTTGGTCGTCCAAAGGTGATTCGGAGGAGGTCATGTAAGGATGAGATGAAAACATGTGGGCAGACTTGGAGCGGGGTGAAAAAGTTGGCAGAAAACAGAAGGCAATGGAGGTGCGTAGCTGAAGCCCTATGTTCCTCTAGGAATTAAAGGATATAATAATAATTCGTCACAAATCGACAGCAACTACAGTTCACGTGCTATTGGATCATTTTCTAGTGGTCGAATAGTGATACACTGCCCCCATAAACCGAAGATTCAGGGGTCTGATTACTGGTAGAGTCATTGGCAGTTACTGTTAAAGAATCAGCTCGTTTATGATGAAACAGCTGTCTAGTATCTCCCGCTTTTCAATGGTTGTTTAACTGATTATTCAACGAAGTCTACCTCCGAAATAAATCCCATACCCCTCAAACTCAACAATTACAGATTATCATGTTAACTAACTGTTTAAGATTAACTAGAAATAAACAATAACAGAAGTATAGAATTAGTGAATAGACTTCAAGCCTACACTAGTAAATCAATAAACCATAACTTACCACAACAGGATTAAGCATAAAAAGATTTTGTTCAGAGAATTGTTTAATTGGTTTATTATTACTATTATTATTACTGTTAACATTAGAATGATTAGTATTCATAATGTTATTTCCATCAATTAATTTTACATGATCAGATAAATCGAATGAAGCAATATTATAGCCTTTCTGTTTATTATTACTGTTATCCGGCGTTGAATGAGTTGATTGATTTCGAAGTTGTATCAAAGGTGGATTACATAATGACTTATTATTACTTTTACTACTGTCAGTTATTGTATTAACAGTAACAGATTTAGCAGGACAATTAACACCATCATCACTATTTATCAAAGTAGTCTCTGGTCTATCGTCTGATGATTTTATACGTCCACGCATTGAAAGTCGAAGAAGTGTTCTGTTTAACTTGCTTAATTTATCATTTGGCGTTAGCGGTGAATTAATGGTTTCATTTTTTGTTGATATGGAATCTACTGAAGATGTACACACAGAATTATGATGACCAAGTGATGATGGAGGTCTTGACAACTGCAACGGATGTGATTGGGTAGGAACAGTTGTTTCAGTAGTGTTAGTAATAGCAGTAGAAGAAGAAGTATCTTTTGAAGATGATGTTTTATATGGAAAGAAATGCACACCTGAAGATAACATATTCGAAGGTGTATTCGGTAAACTGTTATCCTCACTTGTACAGACAGAATTCCCTTTTAAATTGTTAGGCAGTAATAATGAATTACGTATTTTGTCATCTTGTTTATTGTTATAGCATATATTCATACTCATTTCAATTGGTCGTAAAGTAGAAAAACTAAGAGTATAAAACAATTGACTACGGCAACCATCATTATTTTCATTTTTAGTGGTGTCTTTGAAATCAGTAGAAGTTCCACACTCTGTCATATCTGAAAACTCTTGATAATCGAGGCATAAATGAGTTCGTAAATAAGAAATCTGATTATATATACAATATAAAAACAGCATATGATCTAGTGCATCAGGCAATTTGAAAAGTTTATCACAAACAGATGAAGTTTCTAAGAGCCATGATAATAGGCTACGATTTGCTGTTAATTGGTCAATTGAACCTAAGGAAAATTTAATTGGACACTGGTCCCTGTTATCGCTGATATTTTCATTTCTGTTAGATGACGATAACGCCGACGACAATGATGACTGAGAATCCATAGGAATCAATTTATTATCAATATCAATTAATAAAGAAATAGGGCAATGAGAGTTGACTGTTTCACCATTAAGGGTTGTTGTTCCAGACAAAGGCATTTTAATCGGTAATAGTGTCCATACAGTTACAGGGAAGGATTCAATTAATGTTTGACGATATATTGTACATTCATTCGTTTGATTACCAGTATTATCATGACTATTACTACTATTGATGACATCAGCAGCAATGAAATCTGAATTGACAACATCATGAGATGGACAGCTCATATTAACTACAGTGAGAAATTCAACCCATACATTTGGACAATGAAGACACCAAAACTGTTCTTCAAAATTCTATAACAGAATAAATATTAAATGAATATCAATAAAAGTAATAAAAGCTATAGGCGCTTTTGACACATCGACTTGTATGAATAATGTCACGAAGGATTAATCATAACTTGAACAGTTCAATTGTAAATTATCTGAATCAAACAATGAGACACACCCAGTCGAGCTCGAAGAGCTGCAAACAGAAATAATTAAAGAGGGATGATATGTACACTGTGACCATTAACTAACTCAATGAGTTTTGACTCAACTAATATTGATCTTACGCTGATAATTTATGACTTGACGACTTCTGGATTTCTTCAACTGACCACGTAACTTCTCAGGATCATTTTCCAGTCTCATTATATTATCAGCAGAGTTTTCCCTTAGACTAATCATTTTGAGTATGATCACACATCCATTCAGAATAAGAATTCGTTCAGGACTAATTAAAGGTGTGTTCAGAAAAATGAAAATAAGTCTGATTTCAAGAAACTGTACACAATAACTTTGATTTATAGTTAGAATAATGAAATCGAAGGCAACTATTCGACTGAGTTTCTCAGGTTATGAAAGTGCTGACATCCTCCTTACTAGAATTTAAACTCAGCATTGGATCAGGTAGTAGCCTGATAGGCATAACAAGGAATAGAAACTCAACCTGACAACTGTTGGTAAGAGTTTATTGGTTGCCTGATAGCCTGTTGAATTACTCACAGGTTGGTTATTCGCCATCTGCTGAAAAATAGTTTTTCGTGAGCAGTGATCACTCGACAACACTGTCAACTAGTGTTATCAATAGGTCACTGAGTATTAGTCCAGTTTAGTCTTATCGGTAGTGACATACTGATGGTATGCATCATAAAGAGCTCCACTTGCAAATATAAATGAGCAATCAAAGTGCTCTGATGTCGTGTACGTTATCAGAAGAGGGCTGTATGTCTTGACAACAGCCGAAAAGTACTACGTGAAAGTAAACAGATAGCAAGCTGTCATCTCACTTTCTTATGCTAAAATAAACATTCTATCAGCAAGGGAGGGAAGAATGAGCCTGGAACACCCTAGAAAGAATGAAACGTGAGAAACGAATTTCAGACAATTTGTTTATGCAATTCAAGATCTTATTGATTGATTCGATTCCTAAAATGTGATATCCACATGCATAATTGGATCCTCTTTTCTACTAATCATTTATTCTGGACAGAGGAACTGCTTCCATCCATGAGTGATGTCTCCCGATCTACAACAAACAGAGTGAAGAACCCAAAGTTCGTAATTAGTTTCAATTAGAAGGGTCATTTCTATTCATAGATATCAAGTCGTTTGGACTATTACCAACAAGTTAAATACTGTTCAGAGTTGAAATCTATATGCATCTTATTATATTTAGAAAAACTGTATGGGGTTTTGAAGCTAAAAGCGGTACTTATTGAATTAAAATTCTAGTGAGCACAAGAGAACAGTAAAATTTAAGTATACCTAACCAATGAGGTTTTGTACAAATAAAACCAACATCTTGTAATCTATTGTTTAAAAGCATTAAACAGATCTAACAATAGGCAATAATGAAGTGTCCACTTCAGAAGCCTAACCAACAAGCCCATAACGTAGGAAGTCAAAAGACGTGTGTGTATAATCTAAAATGGTCACGTAATCAATGTAGATGGAGTTTAAAAAAACAGTGAAGTCTATTGCAAGAATGAAGCACACGAAACACATTGACACTTCTAATAATCAAGATTCATTAGGATTAATCATGATAAAGGTTGAATGCTAAGAGCAAATACATACATACTCAATACCAGTATGACCGATGTACAAAATTAGTTAGATCAGGTGTTTTCAAAATACAATATATGACCTAATAAACTCTATCGACAATGCATATATAAATTCTGTGCAAAGTGAGTAGTTGACTAATACTTACATCAGTCAGTAATGCATATATATATATATATACGTTTTAAGTGGATAATAGGGCTTCAAGTTTCATATCTGAAGTTTCGGTATCAGTGATTTTATTTTTACGGGGTAGAGTTGCTAGCCTCACAATCAATTTTCCCTCCTTACCGGCCTTATTAACTGCTTAGCGAGATTTAGGAGAGCATCGGCGGAGGATAGAAGGCCGGACAACATGAGGCGTGGTTGGCGAGCGTGCTAGAGCTGAACCACAGATGCAAGTTAACACACAGTCATTACAAAAATTGTCGGGATATACATTTATATCATTCACATAAGTTCACTTCATCTTGAGGCTCGCGCTAATTCAAGCAAGTCACTGTATATTCAGGAAGAAGAACGCAACTATATGACGTTGACATGATTCATGGTTTCAAATAGGACATTTACCACGATCCAAGTAATCTGGTTTGTTAAATAAACCACAATAAAATTTCACGTGTCATGTTTACTTGAAAATGTGCGGTTATCAGACACCCCTACCTGATATATATCCACATTTTCTATTTCACCATAACAACCTATTTCGTCAATAAGCAAAAACAGTTTTCTATTCAGAGATGAAACATTTCTTTTCAATGACTTCATTTTTAAAATGAACAGTTGTATTCATAATACGGGAAAGGACGTCAGGGACTACTAAAAATTGACCAGTCAATATACTTGTGATAAGAATAAAAATAATTTACTAAAAGTTGTTGTGTATTAAACGTTCTTCTTATGTCGTGTACATCTGGCATCCTCAAGCCGACTTCTGATTCGACGATGTGTTGAAGATCAGCTAACACTTACACCCATATTTTTCACATGCTACCGCAAAGCAGATCTTTTTGGTTATAGTTAGCATGTTCTCCAGAAATGTGTAGCCGAACACTAATCAATTTGGTTGATGGAAGGCGAAAATAGGATAGTGAAGTATTTTATCTGTAAACACATTCTTGGGTCAGGTTACTCCGTAACAAGCAACTTATCCTTTAAAGTTACCTACAGGGCTATTGAATTTAGCCACTCGGAAAGTTTACATCTTCACTGCTTATGTATGTATAGCTGAAAAACTTAAACTAATTCGTTAAAAACAACTCGTTAAGTCCGTTTCTTTACCTTAGTCATAATAATGTTCTTTTTTTCCACTCCACTTCATTTTCGCCTTCATTAATGTGTTATCATCTTCGCACAAATTTAATTTTTGTGACAACGCTTGGCGGCCTACTTTTAATAATTGTTTAAAATTTTATAATTCATCCACTTCAACTCTGCCTCCTGAGAAATCACGTTAAGTATTTTTATTTTGTAACCTTATCTATCATATGTATACTGACAGAAATTTTTAGTGACACTTAATACCTTTTCTCGTAAGATAAATACAACTGTACAACTTGAAAACGAAGTCAGTGAAAAGAAATATACATATCTTTGCTGAACAAAACTGTATTTTTTCCTTACTAATTAATATATGACTGTAGAATATAGATATTACGTCATCTCTCACATTATAAAAACTGATGGATACGTGATTGAACCTAGTCACTGGAAAGGCATACTTATTTCTAATTCAATACACAGATTATTCAATATTCAAAAACTATGAATGAGTGAAATTCTCGGATGATGTTTCCGTTTTCTCCATCACTAGAATTTTACGAAATGATGACAAATCCGATAAAGAGCTAAACCCGCAAATACAAGAAAAAACTTTAAAAGTGGATTCCTTCACCAATCGGCATCAATTAGAGAATCATTAAAAAATCAGGAAGCATTGTGCACCTTGTTTAGTGCTTAGTTGATGAATCTTCAACCGTGCTCATCCACAATGCCACAAGAGCTCCAGGTTACGAACCGTAAGATCGGAGTTCAATAGACTATATATTCTGACTTCTGTTAATGAGCAATATGGCACAATCTTCCGTAGTAGTCGTCCATAGTGTGATCATGGGTGCATATAACTGAAGATTATCACAAACTAGGCCGAAATATCTGTCCACTGTCATTGGATTTACAATGGTTCTTCAACTGATTTCAAAAAATCTACCTAAAAATCAATCAAATCTCCGGAAACCTAACACTTGAACATACACATATAGTTTCCCTAGGAAAAAACATACATGAATAACATAAATCAATTGACCAAAAACCTACAGGACATAAATAACAAGATTCTGTAGCTGACTGAATAAGTTTATAAAATTTACACCAGTCTGGTGGTTGATGAAGAGCAGATTGTGAACTGAATGGATTATCTGTCAAGTCAGCATTTGTAACAAATTGGCTTGAATTCATTTGTAGATGATCAACTAATCTGTGTAGACAATTAGCCACGTGTAAAGATATAGGAGCTGCCAGTGATTGGATAATTACTTGATCTGCCTGCAATACAAAGTTTATATATGTACACAATTAAGTAATGAATCATATTATTTAGTTAAAGAGAAGATGAGCTTTTGTTTGTTGACAGAATTAGGGCAACTGAAAGACAAAAGTGAGGATTTTACAGAAAAAAATCACTTTCAAAGCCCATTCGATATCTGTTTACGTTCAGTTAGACAAATAAGAATTTATTAAGTTTTATCCAAAAATAAACACTTTATAACTAAAACTGATCGCCATAAGATAATTTGGCACGCTTAACACTTGAGGTTGACACATTTTCTAACACGGAGTGAGGTAACACCATGGTTAGCTCTCTGATGGTCTAAGAGAAACACATTAATGTAGTCAGACTAATTCCAATGGCAATATACTATAGTGTAAACTAGTCATATCATGACGGTAGATCATTATCTCAATCAAAATTGTATTGCTAGTACTTAGAGGAACAACCGCTTGCGTGTCTTCCTCGTTCAATCTGATGTTCAAAGCCTAAAATCACATGAAGGTAGTAGCTGTCAGTAACGATTTGTGTAAGGAACAAAGAATGCAGGTGATCGTCTTGAAAAGCTACACCCTCTGAGCTAGACCAACAACAACTAAATAGGCGTCACGGGTTAAATACTACTAAGGGAAGTCTCCATACTATTTGTTAGTTTTAGACTATGAAAGTAGTGTGAATCATTGCATTTCAGTGAGAGATTTTCAACTTTTACAAATCAACTTATTTCCAACGATTGGACGATAAGCGTTAGAGATAATGACTTTAAACATTGTGGAGTCATTCGTTGCGTAAAACCAGAAAATAAGAATTGCCATAGTAAAGGCTATACACGCAGAACTACATGCATATATACCGAGAAATCACTATTGACTATATTGAGGTAGAGTAAAACCACACGACATTATGAAGTATTGTGGCGTGTACTACTGACAATATTTAAAAGTAGTATATACATGCAGACATAAATACATATATCACATATCGAATGACAGAGATGGATTTAATGAACGATGCTTGTGGAACAACATGGGAAACATGAAAGGAACACAAAACCGAAGATATGTACAAATTGTGATTCTAATACGTGGTAGACGTATTTTGCCTATATCCGTGTATCGAGTCGTAAATAAACAATTCTATTATCAAACTCTTATCTTCTGCCATAGCAGTGTTAGTCCTCAGGTGACATTGGACATCATTCATATGCAACAACATGCACACCGCATTCTGGGTAACTTGTTTAATTAGCTTCAATATTAACCTCGGCAACAAGCCTTCAATCCAATGCATTAAGAAATACATTTAATGGCATATATCAACAAAAAGTTTTAAGAATAAACCATAGATGAGATTTCTCCGCTACTGTTGGTTTGACATAGTTCCCAGAACCAAATTTTTCATTCACCAGGACTATCAGTAACACTTATTGTGTAAGGACTTGTGATACTGCCCAGATCTTCAGGTTTAATAAAGTAGGGGCAACAGATATTCAAACCCGGGAATAACTAGCTGAAATCCGAGTGCTTAAGTTAACCAGCAACATCTAGGTAACTATTTTTCTAAAATCGGAGAAAAGTTTTCATCACTCCAACTTCAGATAATCAATATGAAATATTCACTAAACTAGAGTAATAACTAGTACATAGTAAAAACATTTACGCCTAGATCATGCGATTGACACTTAAACACAAGTGATAGTACTCGCTTCGGCGGTACATGTACTAAAATTGGAACGATACAGAGGAGATTAGCATGGCCCCTGCGCAAGGATGACACGCAAAATCGTGAAGCATTCCATATTTTTCCCGACCGAAAGCTGCTACCTTGACTTGGTGGTCGGGCTTGAACACCGCAATGACCTATTCAAGCTATACTGGCTGAGACTTATGTCTCTTGAGGTCCTACCATGCCAGGCAGGTTGTTTGGATAGCGGTTAAACAAAAAGCAGCTACCCAATCCAACATCATGTCCAATACAAAATCACAAAATTTCATGCCGGATCGGCCGTGGCCCGGATTAACAACGACCGCGCTTCCTGCTGCCGTGTCACAGGGCAGGAGTGATAAATCTGCTACTGAGACACACCAAACAAAAAGAACAAACAAAAACAGGCCGCGTGTGACCGGCCTCAAGCAGTTGTCCCCTGGGCTCTGCGGTCACGCAACCAACTTCCACGGTGTGGGCAGCCGGGAAGTAACAATCGCCCTCACAATCCGAAATGCACACGAAACCTCTCTATTACTCACTCATCTTTGTCTTCATCTTCATCTCTATCATCTTGCCTTCCTTCCACTGATGCAACTCCTCGACTTGATAGCTCTCCACTTCCTCTCCACTCTGCGTCCACTAAAAACGATGGAAGCCAAAAAACCACCACCGACAGCCTCTTAAAGCCGCGCCACCAATTTCATATAGGAGCTCTTAATGTTAGGACACTTTGCCAAATAGGACAACAAGCATCACTAGCCAAGACCCTGGCATCACGAGCCATTGATGTATGCTGTGTTTCAGAAACACGCATACAAGACCCAAGTGTGGTTATTCACCTAACCCCACCTGGCCAACAGGTTGAATCTGCAAAATTCACCTTGAGGGTGTCAGGAGATGCCACAGCTAGTTCACGAGGATTAGCTGGCGTAGGGATAGCTTTGAGTACTAGGGCAGAAAAGACATTGCTTGACTGGATCCCGGTAGATAGCCGAATGTGTGCTGTCCGCCTGAACGGATCAGTAAGAAGGAGGAAGGACTGCACTACTCGCCGATGCCTTTTCGTAATCTCCGCCTACGCCCCCACTGACTGCAGTTCAGATGAAACGAAGGATGAGTTCTACCAAAAGCTGTCTAGTTTGGTGGAAAGGCTAAACGCTCAGACATAGTCGTTCTAGCTGGTGACTTTAACGCTCAAGTAGGGAAATTGTGTCAATCTGAGAAGGATGTCGGTGGCACCTATGGAGTTCCGTGCCAGCGAACCGACAACGGTGACCGTCTCCTACAGTTCTGCTCTGATAATCATTTGTTTCTTGTAAGCACTAACTTCAAACACAAGGAGAGACACTGTTTGACTTGGAGACCCCCTTCATCAAACCAACGCTGGACACAAATAGACCACATAGCAATAAGCTATCGTTGGCGTGGGTCGGTAGGAGATTGTCGCTCCTTCTGGAACACGTGCGTAGATACCGACCATGCACTGGTCCGCGCTCGGGTGTGCTTACGACTGAACGGACGTAGGAAACAGCTGGCGGTAAAACCATCACGTCCCCAGCTCGATCAGGAAACTAAATCCGTATTTGAGGAAGAACTAGCTAAACACATATCTGTGTTCGACAGCTGTGCTCACCCTGAAGAAGCTTGGAAAAATATCCAGGCAGCCATAGATACAGCTGTAAAAGCTGTGAATAAGGTAAACCCAAAGGTGAGTAAAAACCACTGGATCTCCACCGCCTCATCCGAACTGATAGATGCTAGAAGACTTATTCCGGCGAGCTCCGAATTCAATGAGGAGCGAAAGCTGCACAAGAGGAAACTTACGAAAAGTCTCCGCAAGGACCGTGAACAGTGGTGGGCGACAAAAGCCAAAGAGATGGAGAAAGCTTCGAGGATAGGCAACACCAGGCAACTCTTTGGACTCATCAGGGAAACGGGTGGGAGAAGACAAATCATCAGTGAGACAATCTCGGAAAAAAATGGCACTATAATTAGCTCCCAGGATAGACGACTGGATCGTTGGAAAGAGCATTATGAGGAGCAGTTTAATTTGCCCACAGCCACGCTCAACCTTCCGAGCATCCAACACCTCCCTGAATGGGATATAGACACAGGTCCTCCGTCACTAACTGAGGTTACTAAAGCTGTCACCAATCTGAAACTAGGCAAAGCAGCGGGACCTGATGGAATGACTCCAGAGGTATTTAAGTACGGTGGAGACAGCTTACTGTCGGGATTAACTGAGGTACTAGGCAGCGTCTGGGAATCAGAAGAAGTCCCATCGGGTTGGTGTAAGTCACTGATTATCCCCATATACAAGAAGGGAGACAAGTCTTCCTGTGATAATCACAGAGGGATTAGCTTGACTAATATAGTATCTAAAGTCTTAGGCTCAATAATCATGCGTAGACTGAGTGGTGCTCGGGAAGCACAAACACGAGAGAGCCAGGCAGGCTTTAGACCAGGAAGAGGGTGTATTGATCATATCTTCACCCTCCGACAGATTCTAGAACATAGGCATTCCTACCGGCGTCCAACAGTCATTATATTTCTTGACCTAAAGGCAGCATTCGACTCTGTCGATCGGGAAGTTCTCTGGAGATGCTTGGCTGTAAAGGGAATTCCGAGAAAATATATTGCACTGATTAAGGCACTCTACTCGTACTCATACAGCCAGGTGAGGGCTTACGGCGAGCTGTCATCTGAACTGATGACGACCAGTGGTGTCCGTCAAGGATGCCCATTATCTCCTTTTCTATTCAACTTCATCATAGATGTGTTAATGGACTTAACCCTAGGTGACTTCAGCGACTCAGGGATTGACTTGCTACCGGGAATAATCTCGTTGACTTGGAATATGCAGACGATATAGTCCTTCTAGGCGAAGACGCTGACGAAATGCAGAGTCTTCTAAACACCTTGAGCCGCAATCTACGAATGTTTGGCATGCGATTCGCTCCCGCCAAATGCAAGATGATGTTACAGGACTGGACTACATCGACGCCTAGTTTAAAAATAGGAAGTGAAGTGGTAGAGCACGTTGACCGCTTCACTTATTTGGGAAGTACCATCAGCCCCAACGGGTTGATCTCTGACGAAATCTCAGCACGAATACAAGGGGCTCGTTTCGCATTTGTTAGTTTACGCCGACTCTGGCGTAGACGAGATGTTCGACTATCGACCAAAGGGCGGGTGTACTGCTCATCAGTCCGCTCCGTCCTCCTTTATGGTTGTGAGACCTGGCCACTGAGAGTGGAAGACATGAAAAGACTAGCTGTCTTTGATCATAGGTGCCTGCGTTCTATTTCCCGTGTAAAGTGGCATAATAAGGTGAGCAACATGGAGGTTAGGCGTAGAGTTCTAGGTAAACAGGGGAAATCAATCGACGAAGTCGTGAAGCTACAAAGACTGAGATGGTTAGGACATGTGTTACGTATGCCAAGCCATCGCCTCCCTCGACGAGCAATGTTAGCGGATATAGGGTCAGGCTGGAAAAAAGCTAGCGGCGGTCAAACAAAAACTTGGCATCAGTCAATGAAATCCACAACAGTTGGTCTAAGCCACGTAGGAAGGTGTAGACTTCCAGGCTGGGGTCCTCGGGACGGTAAAAATCTATGGTTGGAAACAATTGGTGACATGGCTCAAAATCGTTCTCAGTGGCGCAGATGCATCCACTCCTTGTGACTTATGATCTCCAAATGAAACTGTTTTGTTCTTCGTATTACTCCTTTGTCTCACACCTCTGCTCACTGTTTCTATTATGCTTTTCTTGTACTTTCTTCTCTTGCTTCGCGTGCTACACGGAGTGTGGCGACTTGAACTTCCGCACATTTGTGCAAAGTTCTATGTCGAAAACAGACAGATAGTACTACAACTACCACTCTTTCAATGAAAGAAAACTGGACATAGATTATCCTTTTTTTTAGATGTTCTGATGGCTTTCTTGTGGCAGATAGGGTTGGCTGGCAGGTACGCGGAATTGTACCATTTAAAACTGAGTAAGAACAAGTAATATCTTGTCCCATAAGTCTGAATTTTGACTAGAACAACAACAACAACGGTCACACAATTATAGAAGCCTGCTGGAAAAATACAAGCACATCAAAATATAGTACCTAACTGCCAAAACTTCGTAGAAAGAGTTGAGGTTCGAACGGTCAAGTGAAAGCGCCCATATAGCTTATAAGACAGCAATGCATATCAAAAATGTAGTAGTAAGTTTCTCACCTGTAAAACAAGAGCATGTGGTCCACTCCAATCTGATGTATTTAGATTATGGTTTAACTGTCCAATTACCGAGAATATTAGCTATATTGGACAAAAAATCAAACAGATAAACAGGATCCTTTAGAAAACAAAATAAATTACACTATACCATCCCCTGAAAACAAAGGTGATCTAACCAATGTTAAAACTCTAATATTTGATTGTAAATTACGCACTCATCAGATTCACCTAATTGAATGAAGTAACCTTGAGTCAGTAACACACTTTGATTTTTCAAGTGTTACTTTGAAGGAATTTGAGTGAGTCAATTTAGATCATGACCTGGACGGCTGATTCGTTCAAGTTTGACATTCTACAGAAGTACGCGACCATGACCTGAAAATCGATACTGACAGATTTCCATTGGCTGTCGACCTCCTTCCATTATGGATAAAATTTATTTTGATAAGGTCTCAAAAGTGTTATACAGTAATATTTACTGATGACTTTTCGAGCATGATTTATTGCTCATAATCATATCAAGTTACTCGCACAACTTTCTAACTTCCTTTATATAATTCCATTATTTTCCATCGCCTGATTTGATTGGTAGTAATATTTTCCCTGTTTCTGGTATGAGTGATGAGTCATTCCAGCTGCACGTGTTGGATGTAGATTCTATGAAAAAAGATTCATAATCAACCTCTCTCTCCACCTACCTATATTACTTCTTAGAATCCTTACCGTCTCCCACCCTATTGTGTTGTTGTGTGTTAATGCATGCAGTGCAATGTAGTGCTGAGCTTTTTTCTAAATTACTTATCTTCTCAGGGTCAACCATTCTAACCTTAGCTAAATTCTTATGTTCCGAAAATCTGATTACATCCCCCCCCCCGCGATCTACTAGTTTGACTTATATAGTTGACCTCACAGCCATTGCAAGGTGTCTTGTAAAGTATATTATTTTGTTTAATTGGGTTCACCGGGTTCTTTAACCTACAGAGCTTGTCCCTGAGTGAGTTTGTAGGTTTAAATGCCACCCTAATTCCTTCTTTATTTAGAATCCTACCTAGGGGCTGGTCTCAGATGCCCCTCCTTATACGGTAAAACTGTAGATGCCTTATATCCTCTCTTATTTGTTATCATTACTAGTTTCACAGTTATTTTTATTTTGCTTTTGGCCTTTTCTGATCTTCCTAATAAATTTTATAGGATAGTTATATGATAGCAACGCTTCTTCTATCTGATTTATTTCATCATTTAGGTCTTTTCTTGTGCTACTGCTCTGTTTGTTAGACACTTAACTAAGCCTGCCTTAACTTAGGTGAATATAATTCAGCTACAATTTCTAAATATTTATACTGTATCTTCGATAGATATATTTTAATTGACATACATTTTTTAAGTTGTCAGTCCAGTGACCTATATGATTTGTACCTACTAGGTGAATATAATTCAACCACAGTTTACTAGGTCACGATAGTGGTACATAAAGCATAAAGTATAAAGTATTATTCATCTGCTTACAATCATTTTGTTGAGTTCGTTAAGCATTGTTAAAACCACTACATGATGTTACAAAATACTCCTACTGCCTCTACCTCACGAAATGTGTCATCTTTGTTGTCTAATGTAAGGGGTGTATTGCAAAGAATAATGCTTTCTTGTGTATTTAATACGTGGGTACAATTTAGGCAAGCTTTTGATGAATTTATGAAGGCAATAACTAACTTGCTCATTACTTCTTTGGAAGAAAGCAAACACATCCAACCGGACTAATCTCAGTGAAAAGTTTGAGCATTGTGTAACAGACCAAATAAAGTATAATTATATTTCAATGGTTTACACACAAGGATAAGTTTTGTTATTGGTAATATTTCGAGTAAAATTACTGGCTGTGTTCACACCAACTACTGAAGTTGTTTGTTTTATAATCCACACATTTATGATTTCTACTCATTTATCTTTATGCATTAAGAACTATATTCCAGTATGTTGACAGGTGTGTTGAGTCACCCTTGTTACATATATCCGGCGTGACCTTAATGAAAATAGATTCTGTTATAAGTCTCGCTTTCCATTTGTTCATATTAGTTTCCAGATAACAAACATTGTTCCAGTCGATATCGTGGTTTATGTCCCATACATGTGCAGCTATAGATGAATTTTTTTCCAAATTGTTGTAAGCTTGTGTTCCTGTTGGTTGACCTTAGTCAGGCGTTTATGTTCATTCATCCTTGTTTTGAGTGATCTGGACGTTTGACCCATATTTTTAGTCGGACATTCGGCACACGATATTTTGTAAATTACATTATTTTTCATTACTATAAAGGTTTTCGTATTTCCCAATGAATGAAAAACAAAACGATATTGTTTTTACTGACGTTTCGCTATTTAATGCTAATAGCTTTCTCAAAGTATTATTAAACCGGAATTTACAAAATTTCAGCATGTATACAACAAAGAGCTAAGGGGCGAGAAAATAGACTTAGGTCAAGTTAAAGCGACATATTGAAAGTCAAAATAGCAATGAAGATCACTAAACCAAATAAGAAAGGTAATAGTACGTATGTTATGCTATCAAAATAAAGTTTACTAACTTGACCATCGTTCGTCTGTCTGGGATCGTTTTTCGTTGTTAAGTTGGTCAATTGGTAAAGATAACAAAATCAAGTCTGGATTGTTGGATTCGATCAGTGCGTAAAATTATAAAATTAGTGTGTCTTTACATAGTGAACTTGCTTATCACATTCGTGTTGATTTTGTCACTTCATGGGGGAGGGAGGTGTTGTAACCAGTTCAGATTTTGTTTTAGTCCATCATTCCTATTCAGGCAATTTGGATTCCACTTGATATAAAGTGCTTCTGATATTAGACGTTCTTTGTGAATCCTGAAGTGCTTTTTCTGGATTATTTCAATATTGTCAAAATCAATTTTGTGGCCTGATTCTATAGCGTGTACACCTATGGCTGATGATTTTTCATGAGATGCACAACGGTGTTCATTTCTTCTGATTTTCAGTTCTCGAGATGTTTGTCCGATGTAGAGCATCTCTTCGATCATTATCCCCTTTTCTATTCAACTTCATCATAGATGTGTTAATGGACTTAACCCTAAGTGACTTCAGCGACTCAGGGATTGACTTGCTACCAGGGAATAATCTCGTTGACTTGGAATATGCAGACGATATAGTCCTTCTAGGCGAAGACGCTGACGAAATGCAGAGTCTTCTAAACACCTTGAGCCGCAATCTACGAATGTTCGGCATGCGATTCGCTCCCGCCAAATGCAAGATGATGTTACAGGACTGGACTACATCGACGCCTAGTTTAAAAATAGGAAGTGAAGTGGTAGAGCACGTTGACCGCTTCACTTATTTGGGAAGTACCATCAGCCAGTGCCAACGGGTTGATCTCTGACGAAATCTCAGCACGAATACAGGGGGCTCGTTTCGCATTTGCCAGTTTACGCCGACTCTGGCATAGACGAGATGTTCGACTATCGACCAAAGGGCGGGGTGTACTGCTCATCAGTCCGCTCCGTCCTCCTTTATGGCTGTGGGTGAGACCTGGCCACTGAGGGTGGAAGACATGAAAAGATTAGCTGTCTTTGATCATAGGTGCCTGAGTTCTATCTACCGTGTGAAGTGGCATAATAAGGTGAGCAACATTGAAGTTAGGCGTAGAGTTCTAGGTAAACAGGGGAAATCAATCGACGAAGTCGCGAAGTTACAAAGACTGAGATGGTTAGGACATGTGTTACGTATGCCTAGTCATCGCCTTCCTCGACGAGCAATGTTAGCGGATATAGGGTCAGGCTGGAAAAGAGGAGGTGTAGACTCCCAGGCTGGGGTCCTCGGGATGGTAAAAATCTATGGTTGGAAACAATTGGTGACATGGCTCAAAATCGTTCTCAGTGGCGCAGATGCATCCACTCCTTGTGACTTATGATCTCCACCAATGAAAGTGTTTTGTTCTTCGTCATTACTCTTTTGTCTCACACCCCTGCTTACTGTCTCTATTATGCTTTTCTTGTACTTTCTTCTCGTGGTTTGTGTGCTACACAGAGTGTGGCGACTTGAACTTCCGCACATATGTGCAAAGTTCTATGTCGAAAACAGACAGACAGATGGAAGTCGATTTTCTCACTCCTTAGCTCTCTGTTATATATATGCTAAGATTTTCTCTACAGGGTCGTTTTTATGCTACCGTGTTCCCCTTTGTATTTTACAGTCCAACATATGCAGTTCCTCACTTTCACTCTTTGCTTCTATAGTGAATATTATTGTCATATTGAGTCATAAGAAAAAGGCACAAACAGAGAAGAAAATTCTCTTTTCGATGATTCATTTTCATGAGCTGTACAATCGTAATTATAATTAACACAGAAATTTTTCGACCAATTGTCGACATGACTTCCCAAAAATCCTACCGGGTCGCTTTAAGTCGTAAAAAGGACACATCCGGCCCTATGACATATGATTATGTGATGTATCAATGCACTTTTGGAGATAACCAGGCTTTTAGAGGTGCTGGCCTGAGGAACAAAGGGTAAGTTGGCTGCGCATGTAAATTTTAAAACTTTTCAAGCACAAAAGTATTATTATGTCGCTTGACATTTATAGTACGGTATACAGATCAAGGATACAAGATAACAAAATACCAAACTGTGCATAACCATCCATGTACGGAAAGTTTCACATCCACCGATGTATCCAGACATCGAATGTCACCAGACGAAATGACAGTTGTGCAACAGTTTACTGAAAGGAACACTGATACCCATGAAATAATGGATTTAGCACAGGAGAAACTCGGCAAAGTTATCCTAAATGATGAAATTAAGAATATGCATGCCGGAATAAATAAATCTAAGTCTCAGCAAAATAAATGTGACAGTAGAATAGAAATCGGTAGTTTACAAGACTTGCTTCATCAACTGAGGCAGACAGGTCCAGTTAGTGTTCTGCATGATAATGCAGGTTTCTTCTCAAAAATGATTTTAGCTCGTAATGATATGATCGACTTCTATCAGAAGTTTCCAGAAGTATTAATATATGTGTAAAACTTTGGCGCTGTGGTAGTAAGGAATTCCAAATTAGTTTGTTTATTAAATGTATCACACAGTGAAACAGTATTATTTACTGGATGACGTTTCGAACAAAATTTATTGTTCATAACCATATTTCTTTACGAAGTGATTTATCAGTTTCTATATTACACTCTCCTCCTATCCTTTTTTATGAGACTGTGAGAAATAGTCACTGAAAGTGGAAGATGTGATGAAAAGGCTAGCTGTCTCTAATCATAGATGTTTACCTTCTGCCTCTCGTGCTAGGTGGTATAATATGGTAAGCAATATTGAAGTGCAGAGTGCTAGGAAAGTCAGTTGGTGAATTTTTGAAAGTAAATCGATTGAAATAGTTATAGTACACGTCTTGTTCATGCTGTGAGTAATCTTGGTCGTTATTGGATGATCAGGTTTAAAAGGAGTCAAGGGGGTTAAATTTAAAACCTGGTTTCAATCTATGAAGTCTTTGACAATTAGTTTAAGCCACATAGATAGAAGTGCGTCGGTGGCATAGCGGATAGGACATTCATCGACCATGTACATGGTCCCCGGCCCACGCACTCCTTTACCTCGCTAAGCCAGAAATAATGCTGGTAAAGAGGAAAGGTTGGGCATGAGGCTAGGAACCCCATCCTGTAGAATTAAACACTGCTACAGAAACTTCAAGTCACTAGCTCGAAGCTCTATGTTCCACTGGGGAACGTGAAGGGAAAAAAATCATATCAATTATAATCACATGATTTCGAAACTTGAGTTTTATAGTTTTCTTTGTCCTCTCCTATTTGTCGTAGGGGTAGTCAAATTTTCCAGATATCTGGGACAGGTGTTGAATCATTCCTATCACATGTGTTTGCAGTTGATTCGATAAACAAAGTTTCTATTATCAACCTCTGACTCCACCCTGTGACATTAGATTTTAAAACTGTCATCCTATCCCATCTTATTGTATGGTTGTGTGTAACTGCATGTAGTGCTATAGCTGAACTATTCCCTAGATTTTTTATCTCCACAGGATCCTTTAACCGACAAAGCTTGTTTCTAATTGAGTTTGTGGTTGGTTTGAATGCCAGTTACTTTTATTCCTGCCTTGTTAAGAATTCTGGTTAAGGTTTCCGAGGTTCCTTATTATTATTATTATCACTATCACTACTATTATTATTTATTTTATTTTTACTTTTCCCTACATATTTCTTGACTAATTTATCCGGGTAATTATTAAGTTTCAAGGCTTCTCTTATATGTATCCCAACCTGTCTTAGATTTTCCTTGGTACTACTTAGTTTTTGTGCTGTCACTTAAACATTTTACCAATCTTATTTTTACTGACATAGGATGGGGTGATCGGAGGTCCAAATATCCGTTTGAATGTGTGGGTTTCCTGTAAACACTAGTGTTTTACTTCCCATCTTCTTTCCTTTTTTACGCTACAATCTAACATTGGAAGCTCCCCTTCCTGACTTTCCAATTCATAAGTGAATTAATTGAATTGCCTCTACCTTCGAGTTGATGTTGAATTAGTGCCAGTCATGCTGAAAACCACTACACAGTTCCAGTTCGTGCGCATAATCAAACCATTTCGGGACAGTTTTAAGACTTACTCAGTATAGAAAGACAGAGTTAGTTCCGAAATCGCAGGATTTACTTCAGCAATATTGTATGCTTGGCGGGTTAACTAGAATGCAGTTATACTTCATTTTTTGCAATGAACAGTTTACTATATTGGCCTAGTATACGCGAATTAGCTCAATGGTTGCAGGTTTACCATAATCGTCAACTACCAACATAATAACTGTGAACTTAAAATAAGCTTTATAGTGGCATCCAGTGACAGAAATCGACCTCGACACGTTAAAATATGCAAAACGTCAGAAAAAACCTTTGAACTTCAATGGAAAAGGAATTCACGAAAACATATAACCAGTCAACGCAGGAACCCACCATGACCTTGAATCTGGATATAACATCTTTCTATAGTCATCAGGAGGTCAGAGTAAATCAATTCCAGTTCAATTCTCAATTATCTAGTAGATTCGGGCCACACAGCTCAACTGGAGTTCTTTCTTAAAATTGTCTTTACGTGTTGGAATATGAAAAAGATGACAGGTTCCCACACTTGTGTATGACTAAGGCACTGGAGATTCGTCAATACAGAAAAGGTTCGGTCAACCTTTCATTCTACCAAGGTCTTAAACTCCTTCCTACTTGTTGGCTTGTATTTTCAGTAAGTAATTTACTAGTATCACTCTTACATGGTCATAATGGCCACTGTACTAATCAGTCTTGTTCTGTTCTTCACACTTGTTCAATGGAATCATACCTTATCGAATTTCAAACCCGTACTTCACATTGTGTCGTGATTAGTCTGTGATTTATTCCAATATCCAGACACCAATTCTGACTAACTGTATCAACTTTGTAAGTTGGAGGCGTGACATTAATATATGGATCAATCAACTTCTGTATGGTGGAAAACTTGAAAATGACTAGACGCCAACCGCAGTATACAGTCTATCATTCAAGTCGGTTTCTTAATTGTAAACAGGACTTTGATAAAAAAAATCGAACTCAAATACATGTTTGTTAGCTTCACAACGCTGAGATAATAAAATTAGGTGGTAAAACATTAAGGATCAAATGTCGTTTCACCTTCAATTTTTCAATTTTTGATGTTAGGGGCCTTTTTCATCCTGACAGTTGACTAACCTGTTTGTCTCCTTTACAAGTACAAGTACATACATAGAATTTTCTCATTAGCAGCACAATATTTTGTCCATAGGAAACCTGCATGAAATAATCAACTAATTATATTCCATACTGCTTGTGTCTGAGGTATTCTCATTCCTGATACCATAGAAGAAGAATTGAACCTTCTGAAAGAAATCTTCGTCCAAAATGCGTTGAAACTGGGGCTCTACATAAGGGTGATCTAACCTGTGATGTTCTTAAGAGGAGAATTTCAACATCTTCAGGAAAAGAATTTTAGCACCAATGTTAAGTGTGGCGTTTGCCGGTCGTCCATTGGCTTGCAGAAGTCTAAAAGAAAGTCTGACCACTTATATGTGCTGATATCAGTTTACCTGCTCCTATGGAGCCAGGTATATTGGTCACTCGATGCATTTGCTGTAAAGAAGACAATCCCACATGGTTCAACAAAGGCAGCAGTGGCTCTATTAGGAGTGCCATAAATGAACACTTCAGAATTGGTCACTTAATCTCAATGAAGTCTTCCTTCGAAGTCACCTACACAGCGGAGAGCAAGCCGAAGACAAAACACATTTGCGTCCTGTGAGATAGTGGAGCTCTAGCTATCCAGACATAGAAATAGGAGAAGAAAATTCTGCAGCCGCTTCTACGGCTATGGTGATGATCTTAATATTTAAAGCGACTTTATCTAACTAATGCACTCTTTCGAATTATTATATAATATCACATTTCCTTTGTTTCTATGCACACCATGATTAAAACTCATTAAATAATATATCTCATATTACGCAATTCCATCACCCTTGTTCAATGTCTCTTACGTATTGATTAATATTATAAACCTTACGATATTTCATTTTTTTCGTTACACTCGTCTCTTATAGGGAATAACTGCATGCGACAGTACCGCCAAAGAAAATGAAATCGCCAAAAAGAGCCATTTTACTGAGCCACTTGTTGTTTAATTATAAATGCTTGAATGAAGATTATTCACAAACTAACAAAACATAAGAGTAAACCATGCAAAAGAATAAATTTCTTATTGAAATATAAAAGTCACCCACACACACATATACACACACACTAACTTACTCGAGGCATAAGAGCTTCAAAGCGTATATGATACCGGTTTAGGTCGAACATTTTATCCTGTTGTTTTGTAGTGTCTCTATCTCTGCTACTACTACTAGATAGGAAAGTAGACTGGGTAGGGAGGGATGAGAAAGAAAGGAAAAACGATACAAATGTCAATCAGATAATATCATCCAATGGAAGAAATTAGCTATTTTAGTATTGAACAAGAGTAACTGGAGCGAACAAATGTTTTAAGTCAGGCTTTACAATCATTAATCAATAAATTTAGTCTGGTATATATTCACACTTAGGCATGTACCAGTATAGAAAGTAGTTGCGAAAATGGCGCAGTTTTATCTCAGACGGTGGAGACTGAATGTCAAATTAAGCCAGACCAAGTGTTTCCTGTGATCAACCGAGTCTCAAGTTATCTATCTAGAGGAGCTCTACTGCGTCTCCGATAAGTAACTGAGGAGGTAACAGTCACTGTCAGAAGATTTGACCTTTGTATCCAGGAAAAGTAAACCCAGTCGCTTTGCATACCTTGACCTGTAATAAAGTCAGCAAATTCCCTATAAATAGTGACAATTAAAGATATGGATACCCATCCTATTCTTTTCTTACCCTGTTTCACTGAAAAACTTCTATTGCAGATTTAATAACGTTTGGTAATGTCTATTGGTTTACGTAATACTTCTGACAAAATCTTTTTCTTTACACTTTATAAAAATTCTTGATAACCGCTCACACTAGTAGTCTGTCTGTCTGTCTGTTTTCGACATAGAACTTTGCACAAATGTGCGGAAGTTCAAGTCGCCACATTCCGTGTAGCACGCGAAGCAAGAGAAGAAAGTACAAGAAAAGCATAATAGAGACAGTGAGCAGAGGTGTGAGACAAAGGCGGAGTAATGACGAAGAACAAAACAGTTTCATTGGTGGAGATCATAAGTCACAAGGAGTGGATGCATCTGCACCACTGAGAACGATTTTGAGCCATGTCACCAATTGTTTCCAACCATAGATTTTTACCGTCCCGAGGACCCCAGCCTGGAAGTCTACACCTTTCTACGTGGCTAAGACCAACTGTTGTGGATTTCATTGACTGATGCCAAGTTTTCGTTTTCACACTAGTAGTACTTCTGTGTTACAGCATACCATGATTATGGATATCATCGTTATTTGCGATCTCTTGAACTTATATCTACCGAATTCAACCTGTTTGTTTATTTCTCATATTGTCTCTCAAATCAAACCCAAAAGTCCGAATTTTTGTCGATTATAAGTAACACAAACAGGTCCTTCATTTATTTATTCTTATTTTATCGCATATTCGTACTGACGACACATTATATATGCATTTAAACGATGATCAAAAAACTACCTGAGTATTCATTTTATTCTATCTTGCATATGTACCTTAATAGTATTTATGATACAAAACTAAATTGCTTTCATTGTCTATTGTACGCTAATAGTAATTGACTTATAAATGTATGGTCTGAAGAAGAATTTTTTTAAAAATATTTATCCACCATAATTACTCTTATTCTGAATAAACAATATTGATATTCAATTTAATTAGCTTTGTACTAAACACTATCCATTTCGTTCTGGGTTTCCGTTGCTTCCATAAAATTATGATCACGATTTTAACTGCACATTTTCGTCTTGTCCTGTTCTCTACACTCCTTTTTAACTGGCTCTAAGATTGCGCATAAACATTCATTTCCTTCTCCTCCTCACATGATCTCCTCCATGTCATTCCCGGACTCCCTACTCGTGGTTTCCCCTTCAGGTCACACTTAGGGGTCTGGCACTTGATGTCGCTCAACAGTCTCCTCAGTGTGCGTCTAATCCATATTCACTTTCTGCATATTTTTTGATCAAGAGGTTCTTGACTGACTCGTTGCCAGAGTTCCTTGTTGGTGATCCTTTCTGACTGGTTATCAGTAAGGAGCGAAGGCAACTGTCAATAAATGTCTGTGGCTCATTGGAAATGCTTCCCATGATGCACCAGGTCTCTGAATCATAAAGAAGCACTTGCTTTACATAGGTATTAAAAATCAGTCAATATTTGTCGTTTTATTACTGCTTATTACACAGAAAAGCTGTTTCTATGAGAAACATTTAACATAAACACAAAACAATAATTTCTGTCTATAACACATAATACAGAACGTAGAACATGCTAGCAAGGACAACAGGGCTGCATTTCGAGCACTGAACGAAACCAAATAATATCTCAGTGTAGATTTGATCACGAACCGACACATCAGTTAGAAAATCGTTAAAAAGCTGAGGAGCACAAAACGAGCGTGTTTTTTCGTAGTTTGGGACTCTCCGGCAAGGCGCAACAACAATTCCACCAGAGATTAGATCTAGGATCTTCAGGTTGCAAGGCACGCTTGCTGACCATTCAAACAGTGAAGTGGAATCCAAAAGACAGTGATTTCTACCTTTTGTAGGATTCGTAATCAAATCTACACTGAAATAATCATTCGAAGTGTCGACAAATCCAAAAAAACTGAAAACAACAGACGGCTAGAAAATGACAAGTAACATGAAAGGTAATAACAGCAAAAACAACAAGAATCATAAGAGAATAGTGCAAACTGGATCAGGAATGCCATAGTGCCCAGTCACTTCAGGAAACACTACACAACGACCAGTGAAACTGTAAGTAAACTTATTTCCCAGAAGCAAATCCAATTTCAGAACTGAAATAAACAACTTTCACTATTCAATTGGTGGATGATGGCTAGCAGTGGAATCCAGGATGCGCATTTCGTCCTAATTGGGACTCGTCAGCTGGATGTACCTGCATTTCTCACAAGAGGTGGCTCTCGTGGCCCAAGTGGTCTAGTGGATAACGCTTTGGCGTTTGAAACTATGGGCACTGGGTTCGAGCCTCGGTGGGAACATCATCACTCACTGAGAAATGCAGGTACATCCAGCTGACGAGTCCCAATTAGGACGAAATGCGCATCCTGGATTCCACTGCTAGCCACCATCCACCAATTGTATACAAATCAAATCCCCAGACATCGTCGAAGCATCTGCACAAGAAGCCGACATGTCAACCTGAGACCGAACACTTCGGTCCAATCAATCGATGGGAAAATCAAGAATTCAATTCAATAACTTTCACTATTATCAACAAGTTCCAGTAGAAGTGCGTTTCGGGTTAGCGAAGCTTTCAATATGAAGTTTTTTTTTGATAACAGAGTCTTTATCATTTAGGAAGAGGTTATTGAAACAAACCGATCAGTATTTACAAGATGTTCACTTATTACACTTCTTATAGAATCACTTCCATCTCATAATACCCCCAAAAAGGGTAATGTTTCCGTTTGCCTTTGGACGGATCCCATATTGAACAACCCATAAACCTAGCTCCATAGTAGCAAGTGAACTGTTATTAGCGCTTGGATTAAATCGAATACAGGATCGAATCGAATTCAGAATTCCTTAGATTTCTCCCGTCAGTGGTAGCTGGTTCTTGTCATTGTGGTTCGGGTATCTTAATCACATCTCTATGTCTGCCTGAATTCCTATCTTCACTGTTCCCTCTACCAACTTGTTGGTTTCCGCTTGTGTATATTTGAGTTTATGCGACGTTAGACATAAAGCATCTGCAACGTGAAGGTCTTCAAGAGTCTTTTTGTCGATCCAACATGTTGTCGTCTTTCCTAACTCTTTCAAAAGTATGCTCCTCGCAGTGCAACGAGTAGAAATAGTGGCAGTGAATAGCACAATTGTGTATTCGGCGAAATGAGGTACAGAAACAGCTAGATATATAAACCTTAGAGTGGAACTCCAATTTGCAAAAACTATTTGTATTCGCCTATTTTGTCTTCATTTCTTACTCTCTCTCTCTGTCTATATATATATATATATATATATATATATATATATATATATATATATATATATATATATAGTCTCACAATGACTTTCATTTCTTCTCTGTTCAATTTAATCCACTGCTTCGTTATTCACGATTCATAAAGAAGAGGTTGCCAATATACTGCCTACAACTTATCAGCAGCATCACAGTGTTTTGCAGGTGACAATCACTTTTCAATAGCGCGAAAGACAAGATCGTAAACCTGACCAACTCCATAGCCATATACCAATTCACCTGATCATGTGGAGCTAGGCATATCCGTCAGCAATGCAAGTTTAGCCCAAAAAGGTATAGGAACACATCCGTTCGTAGCTACGAAGTAGTTCTATGAGCAGAGCGACACTTGAATATCTTCATCCATAAATATTAAAATGATACTAATGTAGATGTGTATCATCAGCTCAAGCAGTAGACTATCGGCCAATAGATCCTGGGTTTGAATTACACTTCATCTAATTTAGTCAACACAATGGGATAGTATCGTCAGTTATCAAAATAAGTATGTGCCTAATATCCTCATACATCAAAAATTTCACCCAGTTAACTGAGTTCTTGACAAAATAACATTCAAAATGATTAGTAGAATATTACTGAAAACTCTGCCTCAAAGAAAGATACTACTTCAGAAAAAACTACTTCTATAAATTGATATAATGAATAAGATGTCTATTATCACTTTACATCGGCAAGTAAGTAAACCGATAGGACTTTTCCTCTCTGTATTTTATGTGATGTAATCAGAATTATTCACTGTTTTATATATACATATAGTCTGTCTGTCTGTTTTCGACATAGAACTTTGCACATATGTGCGGCAGTTCAAGTCGCCAAACTCTGTGTAGCACGCGAAGCAAGAGAAGAAAGTACAAGAAAAGCATAATAGAAACAGTGAGCAGAGGTGTGAGACAAAGGAGTAATAAAGAAATACAAAACACTTTCATTGGTGGAAATCATAAGTCACAAAGAGTGGATGGATGCATCCGCGCCACTCAAAACGATTTTGTGCCATGTCACCAAATGTTTCCAACCATAGATTTTTACCGTCCCGAGGACCCCAGCCTGGAAGTCTACACCTTTCTACGTGGCTTAGACCAACTGTTGTGGATTTCATTGACTGATGCCAAGTTTTTGTTTGACCGCCGCTAGCTTTTTTCCAGTCTGACACTATATCCGCTAACATAGCTCGTCGAGGGAGGCGATGGCTTGGCATACGTAACACATGTCCTAACCATCTCAGTCTTTGTAACTTCACGACTTCGTCGATTGATTTCCCCTGTTTACCTAGAACTCGACGCCTAACCTCGATATTGCTCACCTTATTATGCCACTTTACACGGGAGATAGAACTCAGGCACCTATGATCAAAGACAGCTAATCTTTTCATGTCTTCCACTCTCAGTGGCCAGGTCTCACAACCATATAGGAGGACGGAGCGGATTGATGAGCAGTACACCCGCCCTTTGGTCGATAGTCGAACATCTCGTCTATGCCAGAGTCGGCGTAAACTGGCAAATGCGAAACGAGCCCCCTGTATTCGTGCTGAGATTTCGTCAGAGATCAACCCGTTGGCACTGGCTGATGGTACTTCCCAAATAAGTGAAGCGGTCAACGTGCTCTACCACTTCACTTCCTATTTTTAAACTAGGCGTCGATGTAGTCCAGTCCTGTAACATCATCTTGCATTTGACGGGAGCGAATCGCATGCCGAACATTCGCAGATTGCGGCTCAAGGTGTTTAGAAGACTCTGCATTTTGTCAGCGTCTTCGCCTAGAAGGACTATATCGTCTGCATATTCCAAGTCAACGAGATTATTCCCTGCTAGCAAGTCAATCCCTGAGTCGCCGAAGTCACTTAGGGTTAAGTCCATTAACACATCTATGATGAAGTTGAATAGAAAAGGGGATAATGGGCATCCTTGACGGACACCACTGGTCGTCACCAGTTCAGATGACAACTCGCTGTAAGCCCTCACCTGGGTGTATGAGTACGAGTAGAGTGCCTTAATCAGTGGAATATATTTTCTCGGCATTCCCTTTACAGCCAAGCACCTCCAGAGATACATATAGAAGTAGTTAGAAGAAAACCACTCGGAATGACTGTGAATAGAGATTGTATTCAAATGCTGAGAGGGTTGAGTAAGACTAAGATCTCATTATATACCGGAATCCAGTACAGTATAAGCCTCTTCGCTGATAAAACCGAATTTAACAAACACAAGCACTACAAGAAATATATATATATATATATATATATATATATATATATATATATAGTGCAGACAAACATTTACACTTAAGACGACATTATTGTTGAAGTGATATTATAATATTCTAAAGTTATAGCACAACAAAGACAGACTGTGACAACGATGGCTAAAAAATAATGACGAAACAGAAATAAGCCAACAACAAACCTGAAATCGATGCTAAAATCAAAATTTTAAAAAAAGCGACAAATATAACAATGTAGGATTTCAGCTTATTCTGGGGTTATGTCTAAGACATTTCTAGGAAATAAGCAGAAACACAGAACACCTTGAGACTTACGAGTTGTACATCAATGACTAATGGTTGTCAGGGTTCGAGATAAGCACTTTAATATACAGCTTTTGAACAGAATCAAATCCAATGGACTTATGATTCCAGCTTCCTCCAACTTCTACGTTACTGAGCGGTAGAACCCCTCACATTGATAAATGAGATTGACGAATCGGCAGTAGATAGGTCTCTTAAGGTGTATGGGTTGCTTGGACGGATCTCTCGATATTACCAAGTTTATGAGGACTACGTAACTTATTAAACCCACGTAGTCTCCTGTCTGGTCCCAAGTTCAGAAAAAGAGGGGAGGTTGGAAGTGTCACTAGCGATCCTACCCCAGAAATACAACCCAATCTTTGTTTTACGTGAGTACATAATTTCAAATTATATCTAGTGCACCGGAGGTGATTCTTATAGCCTAGTGGCTTACTGATTAACGCTTAAGCTTTTAAACTGATGGGTCTGGGTTGGAGTGTCAGTGAGAATACCACCGCTCACTGAAGGTGAAGGTACATCCAACTGACTAGTCTCAAACATGACGATACGCTCGCCCTGTGTTCTATTTCCAGCGGCCACTAAACTGGTAGTTGGGTCTCCTAATTGAGTTAAAAATGTATCTGAATGGTAATTCAAAAGAAAATAGAAGCAAAAACGAAGCACTAAAAGACGACATGATGAACCAATACGCATCCATACAGATTCCATTCTTTACTGAAGCATTACATTTCTGGAGTAGAATGGACTGTAACGTCCAAGCATGGTTATAAATGACTCCAGTTCAGAGACATATTTGATAGTGTCTGCAATACATGAGTAAAAAGATCTCAGAATCTATTCAGACAGTCTTAGTTTAAGTATGAGTGCTAATAAAATTCGACTGCCAATCTTTGTTCTTGTCGATTTGCCCCGTGAAAAAAACAGACAAAGTGTAGTACTTCAAGTTTAAGATAAAGTAACGATATCTAGTAATGTTGATGTATCCCTTTGGGTGTATTAAACAAAAAGAAAACATTTTGATTAGAAAAAACGCAGTAACCATCTTTATAACTCAATGAAGACTTACCAAATTCAAGTACAGCGTCAACAAAAAGACATTTAACCATATAACAGTATCTGCATCAAAATTCACATAGAAAGGATTCACTTGACAAAATAATGAACACGGTAAGGCTAATTGTAGACAAATGGGGGTTGGGTGAGGGAGAGGAAACAATAACAAAACGAAATTGACTAAATGTGAACATGTTAAATAATGAATAAAAAACTATCATGAAAAATACGTACTCATTAAAAGTCTGTGGTAAACGACAACAGCAGTGCATGACTCAGCTTCTTATCTCCAAGAGGACATCAATTTCTATAAAACAACCACAATTAAAGTGCATCATAACGGTGAGCTAACTAGCTTGTTGTAACTGAACAACTTTCGACTTAGGTTTTTATACTTCTCCTTCTTCATTTCCAGTTGTCATAAGAAGGACTACAATTTTCCTGATATCTGGGACAAGAGGTGATCATTACCATTATATGTATTCTCAGGTGAATCGATAAATAAAGCTTTAATTATCATTTACTCCCTCCACCTTGCAATAGTGGATTGTAAGCTCAATATGATTGTACAGGTGTGACACTTTGACTCAAGCACTCGACTTCCAATCAACGAACTGAGAGTTCACTTTCCACTCCACCTACTTTAACCTGGGGAAGTGACTCATACAATAAAAGTTAGCAACATAAATGCTGTATACTGACAGTTTATTCAAACGTTTATAGAGACTAATTAACAAATGCTCAGAATTTAAATCTTAATTAAATTATACTAATCAAAAAGAGGGATTTTATTTCAAATTCTCAACATTAAAAACCGAAAAGAACTTTTCATGCAACAGTGTTAATCTTCAAGTACCGAGCGGTAATCAGCATTCGTATGTTACTTTTGGCATAAATCTATGGAAGTACATTCATCGGAAGAATAATGCTAAGAAAACGTATCAAAAAACCTATATATATATATATATATATATGGTTTTATTTCTCGCTGTTGTTACATCTACAAGAAGATCATCAACAGTTCTGTCCTCGAGCATCATGTCGACTCTAGACATCAGGCTTCTTTGTACGGCTACTTCAAAGAGACCAAGAGTTCCGAAATATTGCATGTTCTACTGAAACACCTTAAGGTACTTCTGCTAGAATTTATACATTTTGTACAGTCAGACAGATTAGATCATTTTTAGATTATTTACGTGACATCAACTTCTTGAGTACTCCGTTTCATAGAGTATCCCTCTCATTGCATAAAACATTTTCCTAGGACATAATGAGCAGTAATTGGTTGGTTTTATGAAGTCCCCATCTAATAACGAAAAAATACTATTTTACAGTTTTTGAAAATAATTCGTCGGAACTAAAATTTTCTCTATGGTCACTGGCGAAATAAGAGAATGTTCCGTTCATGAGAGAACTCTATGGACCCTGTGTTGATAAAGGAATTAGAGTAATTTCTGTATTTCCCTGTTAAACTTAATGTAGTTAACACGAAGCTGAATTTCAACTATAGGTTAAACAAGGTTTAAAAACAATAGTAAAACATTAGTGTACAATAGGCACGTAGATATTTCATTCATTGGTTAATGAGAAATAACCAATATGAAGTATTTCTACTTAAAGTGTGGATACTAACAGGATTTTATCAATCAAATTTTCAATACGATCACCAGACTACTTGATTAACACCACATTACTGGGTTTTATACTGATGTTAAGTAACTGAAACCGTTTGGTTGGAAGCCTTGGGATTCATTTTTCAATTTGTCAAAAATACCCATGGGTGTGTTATATAGAAAAGAACAAGAAGTTCAGCAGAGAAATCCTTTCGGTGATTTCATTCTCGAAATCTGTACAATCGCATTTATATACATAAGTTTACATAGACACCTAGATAGTTTACACAGATAGTTTGTCATGATGATTCTAATTTAATTCATATCTTAAAGGAGTTTAACAATTGACATCGTTCAATTGAATTAACGATGGAAGTTGAAAATGAACTAAAGATTCCCTTCCTGGAAGTCAAATGGACAACAGATGATGGAACTCTGAAAAGATCTATCCATAGAAAACCATCATGGAATGGTCAACTGACAAACATTTACAGCTGGATACCTATCAACCGTAAAAGAGCTTTCATCGTCTCGCTGACCCCCAGTACCAGGAAAATTTGCAGCGGTGACTGCTTAGAAGACCAGCTTCTATTTCTCAAAAATATCCTGGCTCAAAATGAATGCCCGACACGCTTCATGGAGAAGAACATGAAACAAAAGCCAAAAAGGGAAGAATGCACTTCAGTGCCAAAGAAAACACTTTATTTGAATCTGGAATTCGGGGGAGACTTCTTTAAGAGTAGAATCTCCAGTTCTCTAAAGAAGGTCTTACCTGCAGCCACTCTAAGAGTGGCATTCTCCAGCCACGCACTGCTTCAAAGCAATGTGACGTACAGACTTCCACATATGACCACTTCAATCTGCATGTATCGGTTCACATGCTCGTATGGGGCTAGGTACATAGGTCGTTCCATGCGAGTCTTATCAAAACGTGTTAAAGAACATCATCCAACATGGCTGCAAAGAGGAGGCACTGACTCAATCAGGAGCGCCATAATCGAACACCTCATCAATTTTTCTCATAGTATCTCAACTGTGTGTGTGTTTCCGACTTCTTTGTAGTGCAGAAACCCTCGTCATATGTATCGAAACTGGTCCAAACTCTATATCTGCCATGAATCAAGTTCGGTTTGTTCCCTTAAGTCTCGTGTTTTCATCCCCTTCATTTTCCTTCTTTCTCCTTTTTCATTTTCAGTTTTAACATATTACTCTTTCTGTAACAACAGAAGACAAGGGCTGGCAACAGATCGTTTTATTACGGAAATCAACACGTATTTATATATATTCCATGTACATCATTATAGCTAATGCAAGTAGACAAACGCAGTCTTCTGATTGGTTGTTTCTGGTTTCTCGGGAAGTTAAGCCGTATATTTGCGAATCTCATTTGCCCACGTTAAGTCTGCTGTGATTGGTTGTTGAATCAATCTTGTTCATATTTTTTCACGGCCAATATTAGTGACCTAGACATTGACGTAAATTGATGTCTACCAATCGGCTAGCAGCCTGCTCTCACCACATTTCGACTTGTTCCCATGCTCATCGCATTTATATTCTGAGTCGTTAAATAAAATACTTTCTAATTCTGTATAATTTTGTTTCCAATCTCCTTGTAACCTATATTTACACCCCCAAATCTTCATATCAAGTTGAAAATTATTATAATCTTTAACCGTCTTCGTTACTATGTGGAATTAAATAATAACTGAATTTATGTACACTTATGTATATAAATGCGATTGTACAGCTTTTAAGAATGAAATCACCGAAAAGATATCTTTGCTAAACTTTTTGTTCTTTTTTCGTTAATGAGTATTCGATGTTTAGCGAAATTCGTTGAGAAGGTGTACATCTGCAACCTTTGAAAAAAAAACTTATCTTCCCGTCTTTTAGTAATTATGCATACCTTACAAAACATATTAGGCATACAATGATTTCAGAAAGACACGGACAGAATATAAAAACACAAAAGAAACCCCAACTTACACTTATTATTATGTGTACATGAATCTACTGCCGCATCGACATGATAATAATTTCTTAATTCGATAGTTAAAAATAAAGTTGTCTCCGGTAGATTATGCAAGTGTTTATCTGATCCAATAAAAATATTCTTATCAATCGGTAATTCTGCATGTATTCGAGGATTATTCAATACAGAGTGAGACAGGAAGTATTTGTTAGTTGATGATTTCTTTGTAGATAAATTTCCAGGATATGAGACACACGATACACTGATATCACCTAAACGTAGTATACCAACACTCTGAAGAATTGATGTATTCACAGATTTGAAGGCATTACAATCAAGTATTAATGATTGGTTACTGAAGGTAGCAGAATCATCTTTGTATGGTTTACTATGATTAAAGTGAACAGGATTTAGCCCCTTTAACCAGTTATCCCGTGCCCCATGAAATTCTTGACAACCAGGCCAAGGTAATTCTGGAGAAACTGTGCGTAAATACAATTAAAAGAAAAAGTATAATAAAATAGTGAAAGGAACGAAGCATATTAAAACTTGGAGTATAATAAAAAAATCAAGCAGTTCATTGTATTTCATCGGTTAGATTGCCTACTGTTAACAGTATGAATAACGACAGTAATTAGATGGCCTCTTAAATACACCAGAGGTGATAGAAATTCATCTGAGTAAGCTCTAAGTCTGTGTGTTAAGAAGAAAAATACGTAAAGGCCCTTTCTTTCCTGTAACTGTACACATAAGTTGTGCAAATGCATACTAATAAATTTTCTCCAAACTTTGTAATTATCATTTCGCATTATTATTTTATTATGATTAGTGTTACAATTAATTGACTTATTTTTACGTGATTATTAACTGATATCGATTCACCTAATCTTTTTAGTTGGTCATTATCTTACAAATTGCTGATTACGTAACAGGCTGTTGTTAACCTACGCAAATCAGTCACTTTTTGTTGCAATTTCAACATACTTTGATTTGTCTCTCTAATGAATTAAAGGTATTTAAAAAAGAGGGCAAGATTATTAACTTTCATTATTCATCGGTTGTAGGGAGTTAACAAAAGATACATTGACGTAATATTACTGATCCGTTTTCCTCCTGTTTCATGTGATGCTATTACCTTAATTAATTAAAGGAGCAATTAGCTAATTAAATCGCAATTTGTCGTTTGCATTGTTCGAGGTGGTGGAATTACACCACAATTCCCCCATGGGAATCAAAATTATTCAAATCACACGCTGTGATCTGATTTATACCACAATTGACAAACAAGAAAGCAATCGTGAACTCGTATCCTACTGACTCATACACATGAGTAGTCCTGCTGCTATGCTTACTTTCTTGATTGCCATTTTAGTTTTCAAAGGAAACTGTGGGAAAGTTTCACCTCAAACAATGTAAATTGAATATCTCGGATTAATTTCGCCAACTGCTAATTTGATTAATGTCTTCCGAGTTCGCCACAGAAGCTACACAGAATTCGGATACTTCAAGACACCTTTCACCATTCATTTTATCGTCATCAAATGTATGCTTGTAGGGATTTTATTGATTTCAAGTTAAATCACAAACTGATATCAACTGGAAAAGTTTTGAAAATCAGGGAGTACTGGAGAACTGCTCTGTCAGCGCTATTGACCTATTTCTGAAGAGTCCCAAGCTAAGATGAAACACATGTCCAGTTCCCTCAATTTTCAATACTTCTCTTCCAAACATTAGTTTATGATCTAACTTGAAAACATTTTTATAAACTTACAACTTTAAACATGATTCACAATAACAGTAAAATTTGTAACAAATTAGTTCCAAAAGCATTCACTACAGTAAAACCTATTTGCCTTTGTAGCCAGTCAGATGCTTATAATGCAACGTAAAAACGACTATGATTGGCTAACATAAAGGAAACGACTTTGTCTACGAGAATGCATTTAAACTTTTTTTTTCCTTCACGTTCCCAGTGGAACATAGGGCCCCAAGCTAGTGGCTTGAAGTTTCTGTAGCAGTGTTCATTTTTAATTTTACAGGATGGGGTTGCTAGCCTCATGCCCAACTTTTCCTCTTTACCAGCATTACTTCTGGCTCAGTGAGGTAAAGGAGTGCGCCGGCCGGGGATCGAACCCCGGACCATGTGCATGGTCGGCGAGCGTCCTAACCGCTATACCACCGACACGCATTTAAACTTTGGTCCAGCCCAATTGAACAAACAGCCACATTACTGAAAGAACTAAAAATAGTTACGCGAAGTCGGAAACAAAGTGAAAAGAGATTTATTTATTGAAAAAGCAAGACAATGTGCAATACCTAATCACACTTTTTCACTGTTAACAAGAGAGCGAAATTTAAATCACAGAAAATAACGCCATCCCATGGAAAAATAAATGTTTCCAATCGATTCACCTATCAATGTAATTGACTGCTCAAGGTCATCTTAGCTATTTCTCTTTTTTTATTTTTTTTTTTTGATTACAGCTTGATTCCACACTGTATTTTTGGTAAAAGTATGAAATTTTCAGCATGGATATCGGTAGCCCAAATTTGCAGTCCGACCATAGATATCAGGTGTGCGTCGCAGGGGATCGAACCCAGGACCATGTGCATGGTCGGCGAGAGCCCTAACCACTGTGCCACCGAGGCATGATTAACATGCTTTTATTTTACTTGTACTGCATCGCTGCATCAAATTTATTCGTCTTGTCAATTATGCTGGACATTCTTTCAATCTGTTGTCCAAAACAAATGTTCAACTGGGAGTATCTCACAGCTCATTCAATCTATGATCCAAAACGTTCACTCAACAATTGACCATATTGAAGGGTTTCCTTTTAATAATTCGGGTTTAGCTTATGCCAAACAAGATTCATTAATATAAGTAGTCGGAAACTATTCAAAACAACAAAGATCACTCTCTTACCAGAACAAGAAAATCCCGATACCGGAACAACAGTACCACTATTAGTTTCAAGTCGAAGTGAGACAGATATCATAAATACAGGTCATGACACTGATGTGAAGTCCTTCGAACTTCTCATCAGTCAGTAGACTGATAGACGTACAAGACTTTTCTTCAAGTCAACACTCCGAAGAACTTAACCCCGTAGATATAGCTTCATCTGTCTAGTCTAAGATAACACTGGATAATTCATGAACGCATACAAGCAACCTAATAGATAACAAGTGATGATAAACTGACACACTGGAGAGAGAACCTCCCTTAGTTGCGAATCATATCGTCAACCAGTAGGAAAGCAATACCACCGGGACACGGAAATAAGTCCAAAGATGATCGCTGGGCAGGGACAGACAGATAAAGAGAAAGGGCGAGAGAGAGAAGAGGCTTTTGTTGTTTCAACAACAGTGAACACAGTTGAGAGGAAGGACGAGAGTAAACATTCGAAATGATCTTGACCACCGATAAGTTTACGGAGTTAATGACCAATAAGAATCCAGCTGTTGGCTCCATAAACAGTCTAAAACACCAAAGGCTAGAAAAGGAAACAATTATGGTAATCTTCCACACATGTCAAGCACATATACATTTCTGTACTATATTCATTGGATTTCGAAGTGAAATGAAGCAACCCAAACTGTTACTTGAGTCGAGGATATTATTTATGCCTATTTTCCTTTCTCACAATTAGAGTATGAACAGGTGGTATAATAAAGAATATTGACACGAATTACAGATACACAAACTGGTTAAACCATTGTTTTCTCTAATTCCATATTAATTTGTTTATTAGATATATCACACAGTGAAACACCATTATTTACTGGCTGACGTTTCGTACACAATTTATTGTTCATAATCATATCAATTGTAATCACACGATTTCGAAACTTGAGTTTTATAGTTTTCTTTGTTCTCTCCTATTTTTCGTAGGGGTAGTAGAAGTTTCGAAGTCATGTGATTATTATTGATATGACTATATACAATAAATTGTGTTGGAAACGTCACCCAGTAAATACTACTGTTTCACTGTGTAATACATCTAATAAAGAAACTAATATGAAATTACTTACTATGACAATTTTACACATATATTAATTATTTTCTCTACTCTGAATCAGATTAAATCATCTAATTTTATTGAAACTAGCGTAAAACATTGAACTTCTTCATTTTTCAAATTTGATAACAGATCAATATCAGTTGGAGAGTTAGAAACCAGAGTGTACTGGACTACCGTTCAGTCCTACTTTGGAACTCTGGAGAGATATAAAAGCCATGATCCTCCACACAAACCTCCTTGATCAGTTAACCTTTGAGATGGAATACAATAGCCCATGAATTCTAACCTCTGTAAAGTAGCAATTCCCCATCAGAATAAACCAGATTATGTATTATAATATTTATTTACCTGAAAGCAAGTAAAGTATGTGTAAGCCGTGAATTTTTTCCAGCACACAGACTGTTCTCTTTCTCTTCCTCTGCTAACTGACACAAGTACATGTACCAAGCTATGAGTCACAATGATTGTTGTATGAGAGTTGATGATGATACTGTTCACCTGACTAATATGAAGTACGAATTCAGACTCAGGACCTATTGGTTGAAAGTCGAATAGTTAAGCCGATGGGGCAAGTCTCCACACATAAATAAACAAAAATTCACTATCAGTTATAGGTACATAAACATATTTTAAGTATAAAACAACAGGAACATACCTTCCAAGTGATATGGATACCAATCTATGCATAAATTAGTTAGGTTTACGCGTATAGATCCATTTGGTGTTACATTAGGAATGAGATGAATTTCTGTCAAAGCAAAATGATAAACATTATATACATATAAAGTGATAATATAACTAACCAAACCTGAAGGGACGTTTGCAGATAACAACATGATTCATTTAGATTAATTTTGTATTTGATTGCATGCAGGATTTCATCATGAGCTAACATCAGTTAGAGAACCACTGGAAAGCCTGGGAGTACTGGACAGTTGTTTCGTCCCGGTTCGGAACTCTTCAGCAGTACGCACCCACCGCCAGGGTTCGAACCTAGGACCTTTTGTTGACAAGGCAACCTCGTAGACCATTGAGCCAATGAGACCCGATCCACTGGCCAGCCGATGAGTTCCAACTTCTGCCAATTCACGACATAGCGCGACCATTTCACAATGTCTTCTTCAATGAGTTACTGCCCCATCTTCGACCTGCTGAACCCTACTGGTTACGGTTTCCCACTAGAACCCCAGGTCACATGGTCACTGCCTGAATAGGAACAGTTGCTAGTGAGCATCAGATTAATTTTCAAGTATTGGTTTTGTAGGGATTCTGTATTTTCCGAAATATTCGGTCTCTATGCTGACATTTCGGCTCTTAGTACGGACTCTTCGACGATGTCTGAGGATTAAAATGGTGGATGGTGACTAGCATCGGAATCTGGGACATGCACTTCCCCCATTTTGAGACTCTTCATCTGGACGCACCTGCAATCACCAGTGAGTAATGGTGTTATCACTGAGACTCGAACCCAATTTCCATCGTTTCAAACTCCAAAACTTTATCCACCACTTGTGCAGTGGGGTAGCAGTTATTATTCTTCTAATTTGATCTTGTATTTCCCAAATACACATCTCAAATTCCACTGATAGTCACCATCCACTGAATAACAACAGGATTCAAATGCAAGTATTCACCAATATAAATCGAACTCAGAGGGATATTTTATTTAAATATAGAGGTTACAATATCCTTAAACTATTTTTTCCAAGAAACCTGCTATGTAAATCAATCTTCACCAAACATACGTATCAGTCATACATGTCCAAACCAAGTTCACTTTTACAAGTTTGAAAAAATCTGGGTATATAATATTCGTTATTATAAACAGTGATGAATACGTATCAGTCACTGAAGATAAAGTCACCTGGCAAAAGGTCAACGAAACGACCGATGGTAGTACAAATTAACTCCATGATGGGAAAATTTTTGAGGACAACCAAGCATAGTCAGTACCGGCAAGAGAGACAGTTAAGTCAATTAAGGAGAATCCCAAAATGCTCACTTTATATCCAAGTAAGCGCTGAAGATGTCGTCTAGAGGGACTATGGAAGATTCCCAATTTTAACCACCCACCTCACAGAACACAACCACACAGAAAATATCATTGTTGTTTAATACATAAAGTTCAGTTAGACAGTCTATGTATCGATATCCAACTCTGAATACATTTCACTACTGCACAGTAAGGGAAGATCTATTGACTTTCAGTATGTTGGGAAATTTCAGCAAATGACATCAGTCATTATTTCTGTCCATCAGCTGTTAAGTTACTATTAAACCACGAACTTGATACGCAAAGTCTCTTAGCTTGAGCGAAGGCTGCAATATCGCCTGAACACTCAAACCAAAGCAGGTGGTTGTCTTAAGGAACCCTGAAACGCTGAAAATTCCATGCTGTAAATTGTTATTGTGGTGGAATAAAGTGATTATTATTATTATTATTATTATTATATTATTCTGCGAGCCTCTGACTTGAAGTCTGATCCACAAAATATTTGAGTAATGTCAGGTGCTGCGTTCAAATGGTTGCTGTTAACTAAAACAGGTCTATACGCCATTTGATCCTTTCAGATTCTGAAGCCCATTTACACCATGGGTTTGAAGTCACTGTTTTTCAGCAAACCGACGTAGACCACCTTGTACACCAGTCCAGTTGTAAGTGCCAGATCCTCACCCTTTCACTTCTGTGAGATAGATCCTTGCCGTGTGAAGGCAGTGAACAGGATGTATATATAAGGACTAACCTGAAAGAGACTGTGAGTGCGAAACTACATGGCAGCATTTGGTGAGAAGGACCGTATCAGATAATTTATGATATATAGACGTAATTTTTTACATGTCATTTGTACATGTGCACTTCTGTGCACTAGTTCAGTTTGCTACACTCCATATACTACAAAAAGTTATAGAAAAGAGAGATTCAAGAGGACTATTTTAGGCAAGAATTTGCAGGAGAAAGAATAGTAACACAGCTGAACATGAAGGTTTAATGAATATGGGAGATTATAAAGAGTGAATGCATCCGTGTCAGTGAGAATGATTTTAAGCCATATCACAAAATAGTCTATAGCCACTAGTACTAAGTACCCCAAAGACCCTAACCAGGTGATCAACACTTACCTACGTGGTCCAAACCAACTATCAAAGACTTCATGAACTGTTTCCGGGATTTGACTTGATCACCCTTAACTCTTTTACAACCCAATCCCATACAGCTAACATTGCTCGACGAAGAAGGTGATGGCTCGGCATCCGCAGCACCTATCCTAGTCATCTCAATTGATGTGCCTTCACAACCGCATCGATTGACTTACGGTCCACATTTAACACCCTACGTCCAACCTCAATATTACTCACCGTATTATGCCAATTAACACACAAGACAGAATACAAAAGTATATAGTCAAAGACGGCTAACCTTTTCATATCTTTTACCTGTAGTGGTCATGTCTAACAACCATAAACGAAAATAATAACACTGTTAATAATCATAAAACTTATATACAACTCACTTTCTTTAGTTTCATCACAAAAGTGTAATTCTGTACGACTAACAGTCACATGATAAGATGTTTCTAAAACATCATATTGATGAAACATATTTACAGCATTTACATAATTCTCTGTATATTTATTACTATTATTATTAGCAGCGGCAGTAGTGGTGGTGGTATTAGGATTCGTAATTGTTGACGGACTGCTACTGTTAATATTACTAGCATTGTTAGAATTTACATTACTAATAACAGATTGTGTTTCCGGTGTAACCCTGGTGACAGTTTGTCGCTGAATACAAGAAAAGAAAGAAACAGAAAATGAAAATTAGACGACTAATATATATATATATATATATATATATATATGTATATATATATATATATATGTATATATATATATATATATGTATATATATATATATATATATATATATATATATCCTTAAACAGATGATTATATTGTTACGCTGTGACTTACACGTGTAATACTACCGAATGTACACTTTGGTTGTCAGAATGGAATTGATGTGTTGAGTGATGACCAAAGATGAAATAAAAATCTTGGTTACGACAGGTTTTCTCTGAGCTACAAGAACCAGTTGACAGATAACCAGGTCATTCCTTCAGTATGATTAGGATAGACAGGAGGAAAATTAGGTAGGTGGGGCTGATTGGCGTAAGAAATCGACCTATAACCAGCAGATCACGGGTTCGAGTTCTATTCCACTTAATTCAGCCTGAGTAACTGGATAGTATCACTAGCTTTTATACAATAAGTGTGGATCACAGCCTGGCACATGAAAAATCTGGTCTGGGTAAGTGAAATTAGACAAACACCTAGCAGTGACACAATGGCCTGGCTAGAATTTGGGTGTCATAGGTCAACTGGTAGAACGGGGGACTAACAAATAATAAGTGAATAGTTCGATATCTTCCGTAATCTACACTTTTATCTTACCTTCAATCATAACTCATTAAATTAGAGATCACCATTGTCATTTATTAAATGAATGATCATTTAGACAAAAGCTGTTACCTTGACGCGATTTTCGGGCATGCATATATCAATGACTCGAAGAGCTACACTACCTGGAACGAACGTCCCTGCCAGTCTTAGCAAGCCCGTGAAGTCACCTGGATAACAGTCAGACTAAGAGAAGTTATAATAATAGTGTAAGACATTTACATTGTCGGTGGTCTGGGAGTGAAGTCATACTACTGACAAATTAAGATGCAGCACCAGCCAGTCGTCCTGCTTTGGGGACTGCGAATTAAGAAAGGCACGCCCTAAAATTTATAAACTCCGACTTACATCACAGTTGTCCGTAGTCAGATGGCTCAGATACTCTTCACTTTTGCGATTCCCCAAAATCATTAAATACCAAATATTCTTTCTCTCATATCTCTCCTGTTTATTACAAATTCTTTGAACTTCTATTTTTTTCTCTATCTTAAGTGATTTAGGAAGTGTAGCAAATAGAACTACTGCACTTTAGTGTAAAGTTTCAGGTGAAGAATGCAGTCCCATTCAACTGGGAATAACGTCTGAATTGTTGACGATTAACATAAGGCACATAAATTCCAAAGTAGAAATTATAAGATTTGTAGCTCAGATGGATTATATTGGTATGGTTATGTTCTCTCTAAGCTGGATACTTCAACTGCGAAGCTTTCCTTGTCTTTCTATGCAAAAATCTTCAGCGTCGACTTCACTATGAAGTGAGCTTTCAGAAATTTCTATGAATGCTATAATCATCTATCCTGATAACATTGGCCGTGATTGGTTGTTTCCGCGCATATTTTACCTTTGACTGGACCACTAAACAATTGTACAGCCTTGATGTGCAGTTGCAAAAAGAGAATTGGGAATTTTCTATACTTTACTAATAATAATGATAATCCAATAAAGAAAATAAAAGGACTCGTAAACGGACCCCCACCTGCAATTCGTCCAAAAATACCACCAACAGCACACACAGAACTGACAGTAGACACCAATCCTCCAATAAAAGCAGAAATCTTGAATGTAATAAAGCTAATGAAATCCAGGAAGGCATCAGGACCAGACGGAATTCTTCCTGAAGCCCTGAAAATGGACTCAGAGACTTCAGCGGATGTAGTCAAGGTGCTATTGCAAAACTTTTGGGAGAAAGGAAAGGTTCCTACTGATTGGGAGGGACGATACCTTGTCAAACTACCGATGAGTGGCAACTAAGGCCTCTGCAAGAACTGGCGCAGAGACACGCTCTTGTTCACTCCAAGTAAAATATTAGGTCGCATCATCCTGGAAAGAAAAGATGCACTGGATGCAGATCTCCTCCCCTCACCGGAACAACCTAGATTCAGGAAAGGCAAATCATATGCGGATCAAAATGGATCTCTACGCATCATCATCGAACAAAGCATAGAATGACAATCCAATCTCCACCTCAACTTCATTGACTTCGGAAAGGGCTTCGAGTGCGTTGAATATGAAGTAAATGAGAAACTGCTTCGACACTATGGCATGCAGTGCTCAAATCTTTATTAACCTCGTCCAACAGCCACGTGTGAAGTGGTGCACAACGAGAAACCCAGCGAGGCATTTCAAGTGAATACGGGAGTAGGAAAAGGTTGTCTGTTATCACCATGGATGATATTTCTAACCATGGTGGACTGCATTATGCACCAGACTGTGCGTTCGAAGTGAGAAGACGGGAATACGCTGGACCAACGATAAAAAGACTCTAGAAGATATGTATTTCGCGGATGATATATCTCTAATGTCACACAAACTGGAAGACTTACAGGCGAAAACCAACAAACTGGCTGAAAAAGCAGACAAATAAAGAAGACAGGACTGCAGGTGAACACAGAGACGACGGAGGTGATGAAGATAACCAACGGACCGCAACAACAACAACCAGCACCAATCACTAACAACGAGGGTTAATTGAGAGAGGTTACTTCCTTTACTTATCCAGGAAGCATCATTTCAAATACAGGTGGAACGGATGAAGATATCAAAGCCAGCCAGGATCGGAAAAGCAAGATACGCCTTCATCAACCTGAAACCAATTCGAAATCTTCTGCAATCAGTTTAAGAAACGAAATTCGGATTTTCTACACCAATGTTAAGTTAGTTCTCCTATATGGGTCAGAAACTTGGCGCGCGCTTCACGAGGAGCATTTCCAACAGCTAGCTGCTGAGTTTTACAAACACCTTTCGCTGGTTCCATATTGAGAATCCAATGGTCAGGAAGAACCAGCAACCAGAAACTATGGGAACAAACTAACCAAAATCCTATTGCTTAACAAATCTGTAGAAGAAAATGCATCAGACACGTTGTGGGGACCGCCGAATGAGAGCACACGCCAGGCCCTGAAGTGGAACCCGAATGGGAAACGACGCGTGGGACGTCCAAAGGTGACATGGGGGAGATGAGAGACTACGGTCAATCGCGGGGCCAGTTGAAGAGGATATCAGAAAACAGGACGAAGTGGGGATGTGCTGTTCCTATCTTCTACTCGTTAACTAAGGGGACAATAAATAATAAGGAAGCATTTTGCTGATTTATTTCATCAAATCGATAGTCAATTATTAAAGGAAGGGAGAAATTGAGGCGTACCTGATTAAGCCAATTTGATTCTGCATCCTCGTTACTGGCTTAAGTGTCTCTATCCATACCATTTACTTTGACATTTTATACTAATGCTAAAATGGAGTATTATACAGAAGAAATTAGTGTCACCCTTAAATCATTATTTTCTTAACACCTTCTAAGATCACATGCACTCTGGACCCGATAATCTTCTTTTCATACAGGGTTGCTTGAGGCTACATAAACAAGAAAAGATATTCTTATTATTTTTTTATTATAATTACCTAAACTTTTATAACTCTCCTACCAAATAAGGTGGATAAAGAGAAACAGTATTCATTTTTCTGTTAGAATATGGTATGATTATCTTGTTTCATTTATTCTCTTAGCCAGTTCTTTTGCCCTAATAACTTTTGTGTCGAAAAAACACAACTGGCTTATTGATTTAGGCGCCCAGCGTTTTTATATTTTATTATAGCTTGATTCCATATAGTATTTTGATACAAATATGCAATTTCCAGCATGTGATATCGGTAGCCCAAATTTAGCAGACCAACCATTGATATCAGGTGTGCGTCGGCCGAGAATCGAACCCCGGACCATGTGCATGATCGGCGAGCATCCTAACCGCTGTGCCACCGACGCACTGGGTCAGATATCCAAAACTTGCTCCTTCTGTCGGAGTTTGGGTAGTCAGTACGATTGAAGTGTGATACAGTGGGCGTTACACATTGTCAGCTACACAAAAATACAAAATATTATTGATTGTGTACTATAAATTAGAGTTAGACTAAACATACTAGTGTTTGACATAATATCTTTTGAGTGGATAAAGTGAAATCCACAGAGTAAGTACAAACTTGCACCAGCCAGAAGAATACATTAAAGCATAGTGATGTTTAGTTGCAAGGATTATTTGATAATCAAAGTCATGCGAATATAGGTAACTGACACACTTGCAGTTATCAAACCAATTCCGTCCCCAACTTAAAAGGGATAAAGCCGTTGTATGCTACCCATGAAGGTTTATAAGAAGTGTCAGATATGATATCTTCTGCAGAAGTCACATGAACAAACAATATGAACGTAGAAAATTTAATTGTAAATGCAGAAAGCACGAAAATGTAAATGGGTATTTCAAGGGAAAGCACAAACTGGTGAACAAAGATGTTATGTGGAAACTGGATTCTTCACATAAATTTATTGTATTTCCATGTGTCAGTTTGTACGAATTTGATTGACTTTAAGATGAAATACATCATGAATTGGGCTCAGTTAGAGAACCATTGAAAACTACGACACATCGCATAGCTTTATCATCCTATCAGGGGACACTTCAATAATGTGTGATCATGATTCCACAAGCAATCTAGTCCATGATTATCACGTTATGAAACACCAAATGGATTCTGATACCAATAACTCATAGATTCTAACTTCTGACCATTCGTCATGAAATCTGCCATAAAATCAGTCGAATCTATACAAGCCTAAGATATGAAAATAATGAATCCATTGCTGACAACAAAATAAACTTATTAAAACTGTAATGAAAACTGGTGATCGGTGGCATTCAACAAGTCAAATGTGAGAAGAAATAATCACTGATGACTTTGGATGGAAACAGCGTAACATCATGATCGATTTTCTACAGCCATTGAATTCCAACCCACTAGCTGAATAGCAATATGCTCGCTTTGTAACCTAAACGTCCTTAGTTTTATCCCAAAGGGGGATACAGGGACAAAGGATGCAATGCTAAATAATCCCAAAACCAATAATAAAACAGTGATCAAAAACTCCATATTTTCCAATGATTTGTGACGAAGTGTATTTTGAAATGAATGCATAACTGTTGAGCAGTAGTAGGACTACATGGATCAGATCAGTTAGACACATAATAGTAACAACAATACAATCATACTTGAATATAATCTCATTTACAAACTTATTGACTGCGTCTCTATCTGCTTGAATGAGTGATGCTTGTTCATAATACAACAGTCATACCATAATGGATTCAAAATCTGCATTGAAGTTAATCAAGATACCCACTGAAAATCCCACAAATCACGAAATATCCAGTGATGACTAGACACATAAAGCTGTATCTGTGAGGATAAGGTCTTCGGATAGTTGAGTTCCGGACACGTCTTGTACGTCAATCAGTCTACTGACTGATGAGAAGTTCGAAGGACTTCACATCAGTGTCATGACCTGCATTTATGATGTCTGTCTCACTTCGACTTCAAACTAATAATGGTACTGTTGTTCCGGTATCGGGATTTTCTTGTTCTGGTAAGAGAGTGGTCTTTGTTGTTTTGAATAGTTTCCAACTACTTATATTAATGAATCTTGTTTGGCATAAGCTAAACCCGAATTATTGAAAGGAAACCCTTCAATATGATCAATTGTTGAGTGAACGTTTTGGATCATAGATTGAATGAGCTGTGAGACGCTCCCAGTTGAACAATAAGGTTTGACAACAGATTAAAAATTATAATAAGCATCCCAGTGAAGCATTCGGAGATATCAGTCTGTTTTCAACTACTTACTGTCAGTATCCTAGCGCGGACCACACACAGGTAAGTGAAACCCATTTTCATATGGTCCAGACGGTATAGATTAGAGCTGCCTATTGATTTGAAGATTCATGACCTTTTTTCAATGTAGTCCTATTTCAGATCAAATTTATCATTGCGAAAAGTGATGATTCATCGGGCATAGCATGCATTTCATATACCATAGTAAGTAAAGTTTCGTTATCATATTAGCTGACTCACCTCAACTTGCTAACAGTTTGTGTCTAATCTCAGCATTCATTACTTAATGTATCAGTCATAAATACTTTGTGTAATATCATGCGTCACTACCCAATTGGTTTTTTAAAGAGATCAGAATGGAAATTCATGACGTCTCTAGCTAAGAGCTGACCTCCACTCAAGAACCTGAAAACTATACCTCTCACGCAGACGAAGATATTTTTCTAAAAACCAACATCTAACTGGTGGTAATACAATATAGTATAAATAAAAAACCTGAAATCAAACAATAGCATGGGTAATAAGTACAAAGTTAAATTCACTGCATATGTTCTATTACAACTTTAAAATGAACACACTCAACTAACCTTTGCCTTATCTGCAGCAAATTTCTTGCTTTGTTCACTAGCTAAATGTATTGAATGCTCTAAAGAACGAGCGAAAACAATAGCTGCTTCAACTTGTGGCAATGTGAAAACCCATAACAAATCGTCAAGTATCAAACGAATACGTGAACTAATCAGTGCACCGTCTAGAAATATTAAAATAAAGAGAGAAAGGAGAAGAGATAATAAAAAGCTGATTAAACTTGGGTGATGATGATGATGATCACATAATTCATAAATTAACCACTAGAAGTCATGAAAATCATGCTAAAGAACAACGAAATGAGTAGTTAATTTGGAAAAATAGAGATGTGAGTACATTTCTCACGCTTATTTCACAAGTGTGAACACTTTCTAAACTATCTAGAAATAAGTTCACAACAGTGTGAATATATTCGAAAGTCAAGTAATGCGTTATTATACCCTTGGGTTCCCAGTGGAATATAGGGCTTCAAGAGCACACCTTACTTCACTTTATCCTCTCAAGTCATTTGTAGCTAGCTCCATGACACCTAAAAAACTTTAATTTACACTCAACATCGTATCGTTGTCAACCTCAAACACTCTCCCAATTGGTTGATTCCCAATCAGCTTCTACTTGAGTGTCTGGCGTGTGGTGTCACTTAACGGTCTCCTCAGTGTATGCCCGATCTATCTCCATTTGTTTTCGTATATTTCTTGGGTAATAGGTTTTTGTTATGTACTCGTCGCCAAATTATTGTTATGTACTGGTCGAGAATTTAATAGTCCTGACGCAAGAAAGACGGAAATCAGAAGACCACTAGGTTTACGATGATACTTCTATTTTCCAAAACACCAGGAGAATCAATATGTCACACAAGAGTGTGAGAGCAAAATATATGAAAGTCCGAACAAGTGTGTGACCGAGTATTCAAAGTGAACAAATCAATAGACAGTCTTAACATGATTGGCTAATTATAATGGAGTATCGATCCATATATACATAGCAAAATATATCAGACTGTCAACAAACACACATATTATATATAATATAAGGGGAATATACATTGTTAAAGGAGACAGGTTCATCAAAGTGAAATGGTCACAGACTAAGAGAGCAACAGAAAAGAGACCACCATACACACACGTATATATATATATATATATATATATATATATATATATATATCAGTTTTTAAATAGTTCTTTGCTAGAGCCCCTTGTTACATATGCTTATCTTTCCCACCAAGTCATCTGATCTTCAGTATCTAGCGTATTTAGCTGTTGGTGAAAGTTTTCGGTAGCGTATGACAAAGGCTCTCCGTAACTCATCAAGTCTCTGAACCATTTAAAAGCACTACCTAGACAATGTTGTCGAAAACCTGAATCTTTTACCCTATCCTGAACGCAGCAGATTTAATGGTTCTAGTTTAATGGTCTGTCTTGCTTTTCCGATCATGAACTTGACACCTCCATCCGTTTCGCCTATCATTGAAACCATGATAATTAGCTGACTGAAAGAGGTGATTTCTTTCAAATTTCTTTTGTTGGTAGTGATGGGCACCTGTTGTTGTTGGTTAGGTATCTTCATCACCCCTGTCGTCGCTAAGTTCACTTGGAGACCTGTCCTCACTGCCTCTTCTGCCAACATGTTGTTTTTCGCCCTTAGAGTTTGTGTGACACTATATATGAATCGCCAGTGAAGTTTAGATTACCTAGAGTCTTGCGGTCAATCCAGCGTATGTCTGGCTTCTTGCACACAACGGAGGGAAAAAATAATGACACAGTATTGCGACGCATATTCGTTAAATCGGTTAGAACCAGTCATATATATATATATATATATATATATATATATATATATACTTCTATTTGATGCTACGTATGTCTTACACCAAGCAAGTACGGATGTACGACTATCAATTTGGGAGTCAATTACTTCACTTATTCATCCATATTTTCATGAAACACAAACAAATACACTAGATTACAGACAAATATTTTGACACCATTCTGAGCTGCGAGTTTAATTGCATTATTGTAAAATTATTTTCCTAAATAATCTTGGTAAAGGTTAGCTATGCTATCTGATGAATTCAAATTTTAAAAATACTGATCAGTAAACAGAATACAACAGAGCAAACCTAACAAAAATTAACGGATATTCTCCAAAAATTGAACCATTCATTGAGGCGGAAATGTTTGAAACTGAGACCATCTGGCTCAAATATATCCAAACTGTATGGATTACCGATAAAATGGAAAAAAATTACCACTCTTCGGCGTATCTTTGACATAACGAATTCACCTTATCATCAAATTGACCAATGGTTAGTAAACCTTCTAGGACCAATCAGAAGGCAAGTTTCACGTCATTCACTCCGAGATTCCTTTGACTTTGATAATTCCATTGAAAACGTCAACTATTCTAATCAAATTATGCTTTCATTAGATGCAGCCCTCATTATTTACTTATGTCCAACTAATCCTAGTATTAAATTAAGTGGTGACTAGCAGTGGATTCCAGGATGCGAATTTCGTCATATTTGGGACCCATCAACTGGATTTACCTGAATTTTCCAGTGAGTAATGGTGTTCCCACTGAGAGTCGAACCTAGTATTCATAGTTTCAAACTCCAAAGCGTTATCCACGACAGCCACCTCATGTGCAATGGGTATCAGTAAATATTTAATTCAATTCAGACTTTCCAGTTAATTGATTGGACCGAAGTCTTAGGCGTCAGGTGCGGGGGTGCAGGCAAATCCAATTGGCGAGTCACAAGTAGGACGAAATGAGCATTCTAGTTTCCACTACTAGTCACTACCTACCAATTTACTTCAAATTAAACAATCAGACATCGTCGAAGCACCTTCACAAAGAGCCGACATGTCGACCTAAGGAGAAGCACTTCTGTCAAGTCAGTCAACGGGAAAGTTCAAATTGAGTTAAATAATCTTAGTATGTTTATAAAACCATAAGACGTATTCTTTTGAATATGCGTTATGTAACTACCAGCTTCTTCACAGTAGGGTTAGTGAGATTGCATTTAAATATCCTGATAAAATCCAAGTTACTCAGTTGAAGAAGTTCTGGTTTATTTATACAAAGAGATGTTCGAAAGAATCATAGTTTTGATTTTTTTTAATCATATTGAGATCATTACTGTTTTTCTTAAAAATAATTTTATTAAATGATATTTGAAACATAGCGAAATTACCACTTATTATTTCGAATCTTTTTCATCCTTTCAGAATGAAACGAACAGGAACACATCCATCGACTGTATTGATTTGTTTTCAACTAATACCACGTGAACTTACAATCATATGACAGAATGAATCCAGGGGTTAACAGCTTATCTTGCTATAAACGTCAATTTCTTCGTATTACTTTGATTTTAAGAGGATAGATAAGAGCTTATCGACTTAGATACTTTAAATAAAACCATTGAGTCTGAAGTTCTGTTATTACTCTACTTATTTTAATCGAGTCAAATGTAGCACGTATTAATACCAAGAAATACCTGTGGAGACGTGCTTCATTGAGTCAGACATTCGTGTTTCATTCAGTGTATTGTGAGTTCAAATCCACTTCACCTACTTTACAACCAGGGTAACTTGTATTATCCATCATCCCTGACATACAGTAATAAGTGTGGCTTATATCCTCTGGTTGTATGTCAATAATTCAACGGTAGAATGATCTCCAATAATGCACGTTGCCCGGGTTCGAGGCCGGCCGACGCATTACTACACCCCGCTGAGCCGCTGATAAACCAGGTAAACATGAAAGGTTAGGTGTGAGGCTAGCAACCCTAACCCGTAAAAAACATCACCTCTAGTGAAACTTCAAAGCCAAAACGCTGGAAGCTCTATGCTCCATTCGGAACACAAAGGAATAAAAATAAAAATATCCTGTGGTACATGAAATACCTACTTCTGGTAACTGAATTCAAACAACGGAGAATTTTCGTTTCTATTTTTCTTTTGCTTAATAGGTGCAGTCATTTGACAGCTATTTCACATTTACTTATTTATTCAATAACAATTTTCATTAACTTCACGTACGTTCATGTTTATGCCATCTGTACAGAAAGATCATCCATGCCATCAAGATCTCATCGGTGAATAGGATGGACTTTACATCTTATTAATTAAAACAGTAATCTAAAGTTATGCATTTTCAACAGCTTAGTTTTATAGAAAATACAAAAATACTAGACAAAAAAAAGATGTAAAGGTGTGGCTCTGCAGCCTAAAAGAGAGCTCAACTTGCAAAGACTGGGCTGCAGGTTCAAACCCTGTTAAATCTTGAACTGATATACTTTTTTGGCGACACAGCCAAGCCATCTAAATCAACTTCAGTAGACTCGATTCGGACTAAATACCGAACAGCCGAACAAATAGCAGAAATATGGTTCACTAGTTAAGGCAATGGGACTTTCAGTTGAGACAGTCAGTCCAAATTCCACTCCACAAACTTCGATCCGCACCCAACTACGTAGTATCATCATCCTTTTCACGGAGTAATAAAAATGATGCAAAATACCCATCAGGACATTAGAAAGAAAAGAAAGAAAGAGGTTTAGTAAAGGTGTCTTTTCTTTTGAGAATGAAATTGCCGAAAATAAATCTTTACTGAACTTCTTTTTATTTCTCTCCCTAATAAATATGACTAAAGGCCTTCACTTATCTAGGCAGTATCGTTTCAACTACAAGCAAAACGTATGAATATGTCAAAATCACGAACGGAAAAGCAGTAGAGACCTTCATTAATATGAAATTAGCGTGGAAATCTACAACACTCAGAATAAGGAACAAGACTCGAATTTTCAGCCAGTGCGTGTATATTTTTCAGACACTTGGCGTGAGCGTCACCAAAAACATTTTCTAACAGACTTCTATGAAGACTTTCATCAACCGTTAGCTTCATTCTATACTGCAGATTAAATGGTCAGTAGGAAGAGGTAAGCCTGTGTACCAAGCGGATCTAGCAGAGAACTATTCAGAAATCTAATGCTCAACAAATATGAGGAATGAAGTGCAGATAGATCGGGCATACACTGAGGAGACCGTTAAGTGACACCACACGCCAGACTCCCAAGTGGAAGCCGAATGGGAATCAACCAATTGGGAGAGTGTTTGAGGTTGACAACTAGATGATATTGAATACAAATGAAAGTTTGTTGGGTGTCATGGAGCCAGCGAAAAATGACTGAAGAGGATAAAGGGAAGTACGGTGTGCTCCTGAAGTCCTATATTCAACTGGGGACCCATGGGAATAATTACAGTACTAACAGTAACCTGCTGCACAAATGCATTCAAACAACATATTTAGACAAATGTAGTACACATTCCAAAAAGGATAAATCAATAAAAATTCTAGCTGCAAACAGAAAAAAACAATTATCACATCATAACTATCAAGTTATCAAATTTATTCAGTGTACTTTACTCCTCCCTCATGTGTGTGTAAATAAAGGACAAACAGAATTACTCAATCTCAATTATACAAAATCAATATTGAAACAAACTATCACCCTTTCTAACATAAATGTGTGTGTGTCTGTCTATTCAAAGTCTAAACTGATGAAAAACGAAAATGCACACACCTTTCTAATGTGCACATAGATAGAAGACTAAAATCTATAGAATACATATTGATGATAAAATTCTCATGCATGTACGAAAATGCCAATTTTCATTTCTACATCAAGAAAAGGCGTGAACATAGTTTATATATATATATATATATATATACGAAAGAACATAAAAAGTGTTTCCACTAATTGTTATGATAATAAATGTACACAATAAGTCATTGTATACACGATTCAGAACAAAACAAAACCAAAATCACTGAAAGGGATGAAAGAGAATATGGTATTTTTGATGTGGTTCTGTTCTCTGAGCTGGATGGTTAGTTTGCGAAGCTTTCATCGCCCTACTGGGTGACATCTTCAGCGCATACTTCAATTTGAAGGGTATGGTATTTCCTGCATGCCACGATTTATGAAAAAAAAACATGAGGGTTGTATAGTCAGTCATCTTCAACTACAGGTATAGATAATTAGCTTAACCTCTGAATTTCCGGTGAGCAGTACTTTATTATCCACTCAAGTCGAATTAGTGAGGCTAACAGCCTGATACATGAGAAATGTGATCAGAGTAACCGGGTTTCAACAACTTATTAAAACTACCTACTAATATAAATAAGCACCACGATTAATTGTTGAATCATGCTGTTGAAAGCTTTCATACATCCAAATAGAAGATGCATCGTATTACAATGGTGAAAAACATACGTTTGATGCGTACATAACAGATCAAACCAATAAGATTCAGTTGGCAATAAAACGACACTTACGGCAGCTGATCATACTACTCAGCTAACCGGGCTGAAGAGTAAGTGGCTGGAAGTCAGTACACTACTGACTAACATCCAGTGATTGATAAAGCCGACCCGATAACCATTTATCAAGGTAGTCGACTTCCAATCATTAGATTGCAAATTTCTATCCAGGCATACTCAGCATTATCACCTTTTATATCATGAGTCTTCGCAGAACAACAAGTGTATCTTACAGCCTGATGCATGAGGAATCCCTTCCTGGTATTATTATTGTTCAGTGGAATTCCAAGTAGAACATAGGGCTCCAAAAACACATCTCCATTTTGTTCTATTTTCTGTTGTCCTCCTCAAATGCCCCACGATTGCCCATAATCTCTCTTGATCTGACGATCTCCTCCATGTCACCCTAGGAAAACCGCTCATCGTCTCCTATTCGAAGGGCCTGGCACACGATGAGATTCTACAGTCTCCTCAACATATGCCCAATCCATCTCCGTTTTCTCCTTCATATTTGTTGAGCAATCGGTTCTTGGTTGGTTTGTTACCAGCTAGAGTTTCGTGCCGCTAATTCTTTCTAACTGGCGATTTGCTCTTCAGTATGCAGCCAGAAAAGGCAGCTGTTGGTAAAAGTCTGTAACTTGTTGGAAATCCTTTTCGTGACGCGCACGACAAGTTTCTGACTCAAATAGAAACACATTTGTGTTGAAAATCCGAACTTTGTTCTATATACTGACTTCAGAAGATTTTAAAACTGAATTCAGAATGATGAAGGTCTGCCTTGCCTTTCCGATTCTGGTTATGACATGCTCATCCATGCTGTCGCCTGTAGTTGAAACGATACTTCCTTGATAAGTGAAGGAAGACACCTCTTTCAAATCTCTCCCGTTGATAGTGATTGGCGCTATTTATTGTTGCTGTTGGTTGGTAGCTGACTTCTAACAACACCTAGATTTTAAGTATTAGTTATATTTTACAATGTAAATCACAAAAATACAGATCAACAGTTGATTGACCAGTTAATCATAAGATATACAAAGTAGAAATAATATTTGCATACACCTGCGCTGCAAAGTTATGCGACCTAATAAAGACTGTTAAGCTACTAAGTAAGACAGAATAAATTTGATAACGTTGCTTCAATTGTTGAATACTCACCATTCATGCAAGCGATCCGGGTTCTGAACACGCTTATACCTTGGCCAGTTTAATGGGGTGCTACTTTATTATCAGTAATATTAACGACGGCAGACTGCTCTTTATGAGCATTAAATGAACTAATTAGACGCTAACTTACCAGATAATCGCTTTTTCAATGTAAGACGAATACGGGATTGATTTGTGATAAGTTTAACCGGTGTACCACGAAGTTCAGTCAGCAAACCATCAGCTACAATACGTGCAGACTCCCATGTGACTTCTTTAAATATTAATATTGAATCATATTGTGGCAACATAAGGGTTGTTAAATTCAACAGACAATTTCTCCAGTTCGGTGATTTACTCATTACACAAAATCTAGAAAGCTGAAAAACAAAACAGCAATAATGAATTACACATTTAAAAGTAGAAGTGATACATTAAAAAATTTACTTACACTAGGAAAATATTGAAATTATTCTCTATTCGGTTGAAGCATTTTAATAAGTTAAAAATCAGTCCCACAGAACAGATTTTCTATGTACCAGGCCATGAAGCACATTTGCTATTTTAGAGTTGGTGACACTATCCAGTTGTTGAAACTAAAGCAGGTGGAGCAGGATTTCCAGTCGGGACACAATAACTAACAGCCGAGTGCTTAAGTCAATCGAGCTATATATCTAACTGCTGAATGATGGATACGTTATGGATAAATTAGCGAACAATCCCATCCAATTCAGTTTGCTTCTAGCTTATTCCTGTTTAAAAATAGGAGGTGGTTTTAACTAACACTATTCTAGATTAGCCACCTATGATGAAACATTTTGAAAGAAACAAGTTTAAAAATCTTACAATCCACTCACATATCTCTTGATCAAAATAAGTCGTTTCATTGGCTTACCTTAACTTTGGGTAACTGAGAGACAGTCCTCGAAACACGTGACAGACTCATACTTTTACTGACAGATTTCTCATGTCGTTATTTGACCAAAAGTATATTCACACGACATTCACTCAGAATAATTGTCCAGTTTAAAAAAAACTACGATTTTCCAAGTGAAAATAATACTGTATGGTTGCACAGTTACAAAATACAATCCAGCGAAATAACACGATTTAGAGACTAGGCGTAGTGTTAGGTAAGGAGAAAAAGTTATTCTGTGAAATTTAATAACATAGAATTTAATGTTGCAAAACAGAATTGATTTAGAATGACAAGTGGAACAAGTGAAATAATACCGAGGACAGTTCAAAGTGAGAACAGTAATAGTAATAATTGACGTAATAAAGGAAGAGTATACAAACTGCATAGACAAAATGAAAAATTGGTAGAGCCAAAATATAATTGGGAATTACCATACTTTAGTATAGAGGGATTAAGACCATGAAAGTTGGAGGGGTTGAACGAACTTTTTCTGTACACAGAGATCTGACTTTTCTGTTTCGAAAAGTTATTCGATTAGGTTGTGAAGCGGCATCGACTGAAATGGCTAGGACACCTGTTACACATTCTGAGACGAGTAATGTTAGCTGACATAAGATTAAATTAGAAAAAAGTTAGAGGAAAACAGGAATCTCTTCGTGAAGTTTTCGGCCTTAGGTTTCACACTTACGGGCATGCAGACTGCCTGGTTGAAGTTCCTGAAATGCCAAGAATCAATGGATTGAGACTGTTGGTGATGCATTTAGTCAATACGAATTCCGAAATCTATCAAATTCCCATCATTCTCCATATCCTTATTCATTCTTTCGTAAATTTCCGTTTATTATAGTTCCTTAGCATTTATTTTTCTTTTCTCTACCTTTATGTGTGCTTCATAATGTGTGGCAAGTTGAACTGCTGTACTTTAGTGAAGACTTATGTAAATATATATATATATATATATATATATGATTCCCTTGGGTTCAGAGTCGAACATAGGACTTCAGCAGCTCATCGCCATTTCATCCTCCCCGTTGAAGTCTTCAGCTGTCTGGATGATTTTCCATAAGCTCTCATCTTCTCCATGTTATCCTTGAACTAGTCGTTTCCCAATCAGGTTCCACTCCAGGGCCTGGTGCGTGGTATCACTCAACCGTCTCCTCAGTATGCATCCAATCCATCCCTATTTCCTTCTCAGATGTGTTGGGAAGTAGGTTTTTAGTCGGTTTACTGCATGCAAGACTTCCCTGTCACTTATCCTCCTTGACTAGCCATCTGCTCGGATGAAGGTAGTTGTTGATAAAAGTCCTCAGTAGACTGTCGCGAACACTTCCTGAAGCGCACCAACTCCCTGAACCATATAGAAGCACTGACTCACTTGATATTAGTACTGAAAATCTAAATCTTATCGTTTATGCTGAGTGCAAGTTGAAAGACAATTTAATCGGTTAAGCCAATATATTTAAGTTTGACAACAGAGTAAGCAACACTTAAAAAGTGATTGCATTTTTGACCAATTATAATAACCCCACCCTCATGCATAAACTGATAACAAATAAATCGAAGAAAATTCACACATTCTTCATAAATATATAGATATGTATACATCATTAGTCAAAAAGGAACAGCACTTGCAAAGTGAAGAAATATTTTCAGCACGAAAAATCGATGCAACAATGCGTGATAACTGGAATAGTAAAAAAAATTGTTTTCTTAACAACAGCCAAAGTTGTTATTAATATACACACACACACACTTTTTAAGTAATTGGAGATGAAATAACGCAGATAAGAACTAAGAATGTGAAAAATACAAACGTTCTAACACCATATCTAAATCGCCTCTCCTTAATCGATTAATAATAATAATAATAATAATCATCTTAAATTATAGAATTAAGAGTTGAACTAGTGAACATTGAAGAAAGTTGTTTAAATAAAATACCTTAATGGTTATACTTTTTTATTAGACACTGGAAAATAATCTTTCATACTTTGTGATATCCTTCAACAAGACATATTACGTAACCATGAAAGATCTACGTCGTCGTATACCCAACATGATGCCAGTTACTTTGCAATGACCAGACTACGTACCATAAGCTAACTATAACCACACTTAACAAAGCGATGTATAACAATGCCATCATAGAAGAATTATTAAAAAGCAAAAGTCATCATGCGAATAATTTCAAAATATGATGAATGTATATTTTAAAAAGCACTAACTTCAACTGAACCTTGAAAGGCTTGAGCAAACAGTTCAATAAGAATCGAATTCACTTGGATTGTAACACCGTCAATAACTTTATCACTGAAACCGTATTTACCAGATCCACCTCTACAATACAAGGAAGAATGAGAACAAAATCAATAAATCGATAACCATCCACACCTGTAATTGGCCACTGGTGAGTCTGACGCTGGACGTGGTTCATCCAATGCTTGCACTTCAATGTCGATATGATCAATAGTCTACAAAGAAGTGTGAAAATATTTCAATGGGAAGAAAGATGAATGATCAAACTTACAATAAGCACAGGATGAGTTTTCAACTTTGTCCAGTGTATCTAACATCGCAAAACAAGAAGATGAGGAAAAGTCAATACGACAACTTACCTTGGCTACAACATTTTTACAGTGTGCTTTACGTAAAAGTAACCAAGTCGGTAGATCAATAAGTTCCATTAGAGCATTCTCTTCTAATTCCAAACTTTCAAGTTCCAAAATCCCTTTTAATAAACTCATATGAAGTTTATTTGAGGAGAGATTCTTTGTAAACCTGGAATAGGTTGTAAAAGTAAGAGAGATGAGGCAATTAATTCAGAAATTTGCCTTGATAAGATATATCATCATTAGTAGACCATATTTCCAAAAATGTAAGAGTGATTTTGAAATGCATTCAATATGGTGATTTCTCACTGCTATTATAACTGATTCTTTGGTTTATGAGAGTAATATATGACCCCAATGGCACACCATTACTGCACTCGCTTCTCTGCCAACACTAACAACTAGTTCTACGACTGCCAAAAAGCTTCAGTTGCCTCCTACCATGATTTTTTCCATGTCACCTCCGGGCATCGAACTCATCACTATCCATTTGGGCTCAACTCGACAACTTGGTGCGTGGTGTCACTTGAAGGTCTTCTCAGTGTATGCCCAATCTATTCCCATCCGCATACTTGTTAGAGTTCCTCGTTACTTGTTTTCCTTTCTTGTAGGCCATCTAGTTTTCAGTATCGAGCAAAGGTAGCTACTGATGAAAATCTTCAGTAACGTTCCAAGTCTGTGAACTAAATAGAAGCACTGATTTGATGACAGTGTTATGTCACAAATTTTAAATTACGAAAACATCAGATCTTAGATAAAAGTTCCAACCTATCTTTACTTTAATAACATGTATTAACAATACATTTGCCTGAAGATCCTGGGGGGAGGCATGGATACGTACTGTGGAACAGACCCAAACTAAGACGACATAGTTATGTTCCTTGGCTTTTTGACTGCCGTCGGTTTATGAAGAAACTATAAACCATATAAAAAATACAGCTGTTTTACGGTTACGTAGAATAGAACTATCACAAAGAGAATTTCCCCCCACTAAAATTTTAGCTTTGTCTTAATATAGATTATTAGTTTATGTAGTGGATGATGACTTGTGGTAAAATCAAAACCTGAGTTACGGTAAAATTCAAACTAGCAGCCTTCAAATTAATAGTCTGGAGTTCTCTCTACCAGCTGTTCTACCAGACCCAGCTGCTAATCAGGTGGTCATTTCACTGCAGTTATCATGGTTAATGCCCATCTGACCTTCAATTTCGGAAAGATTAGGTTTAACAAGAGAAAATCTACCTAGGTAGCTTGTTTGATGATAGACGAACAGTAACATGCGATTCATAAACATAACACAGTTGGGCATTACTCCTGATGACTGAGGTGAAATCGAATTTTGGTTAAAAGTTGGACTTTTGTCGCTCATCAGTTGGTATAACGCCAGACTACTAGTTCAGGGGTCGTTGATTTGAATCCTACAGTGACCCGAATTTGAATTTTACCATCGATTACCACCTGTTATATTAATAACACTTGGATAATAGTTTTGTAGGAATTTGGATTATTTTAATGTCGATTTCGTTACGAACCGACATCATCTAGAGAATCAGTGGGAACTAGGAGGCAATGGACAGATGTTCCGTTTTAGTTCGGGAATATTCAACAGTGAGCACCCACAACCACACCAGGGACCGGACATGGGACCTTCAGATTACGAAGCCAGCTTGTTGATCACACAGTTACTTTGGCAGGAATTCAGTGACTGCGAGCTCTTACTTTGTCACTTTGTGATATAAAACTACCACCATTTAATGCTACCGATGACAAACCATTTCACCTTAACATGGTGGACCCCACTGACCACGACTTTTAATTAGACTTCAAGACAATCATCTAGTAGTCTCCAATAAGTTGGAGAATAATATCATGTTCCCAATGATTCTCTAACAGATGTTAATTCGTGCAGAAATCAACATCAATAACAGCCTGTCAACATAAGGATGTAAAGTTAATAGGAACAGGGTATTATTATTATTAGCATTTACAGAATATATATAACTTTGTTTGACTCCATACACATAAAAGCAATTACTAAGGGTTATACGTTACTTTTGCTAACTTTTGAAGTTAGATAGTTTACAAATCAAAGAAAAACTGATTTTATGCTGCCTAGATTATATCTAGTAACCTTGACCTAAAAGGTTCTCACTATTTCGAGATTCTCACTATTTATCTGTCACGTGAGTGTTTCGTTGGGAAATCTACTACACTTCATTCAGGAGAAAAAAATTAAACATAGATAGATATTCTATGGTTCGAAATGTGTCATAATGTTAAGCATACCATCAAAGGGATAAAATAACATAAACCTCATAAAAGTAAAAAAGCTGGACAGCTAACTTCTTTTGGATAGAAAATTATGCGTAAATAAATTTACTTAGACCTTTAGAGCAGGTTACATAGTTGGTTCAATAGAAGCTTTATCCAAAAGGGCCAAGGAATATTATCCTATGTGACTACAAAGAGGCCATAATGGGCCAGTACTAAGTGTCACAATTAAGTACATTTTCAACACTGATAACTCAATCCCTTACGTAAATTCATTCGGAGTTATTTACAGAGTCAACAGACGCCTCTCCAGTGTTAGTTTTTGTATTCTTTGGACTTCTGAGACGTTAATTAATCATATGCAATTATTCATATATGCATATAGAAGGAACTTATCCAACAACCCTTAACTCGATTACAATTCCGAATTCCACTTTTTAATCAATAACTTGCTGTTATTAGTATTTTGTTTTGTATTTTTGATATTATAACTGTTAGTATCATTCCCTTAACTACTACCTTGTCTGTTCTGTTAATTTTTGACATAATATAATTTTGTACTGCTCTCTTTGCTCTTTCTGCTAGCATCGAATCCCTCGGAGTGTTTTTTTTCCATATCACGCAAGCTCTAACATAACTCAACCAGTTTTCACAAATCTTAGTTACAATCTGACCAATATTCACTGTTATAAATTATTTAAAATAATCCTGGCGTGTTTAATAAAATGAATTGTATCAGGGTGGATGTATCCTGTCGAATTAAAAGCAGGTAACCACAAATTTGTCAAAGAATAAACATCACGTATTAAGAACATTAAAATCATACAAGTTTATTCTCATAACCAAGACTAACAAAGGCAATGTCACTGTGACTCTCAGTAGAGATGACTATGACAAAAAAGCTTTGGAACATATCGAAGCAGATCCATACGTCCTTGTACCAGTAAACGAAATGTCTAGTACCATGAACAAAGTAAAAGCAGAAGTATGTGATCTACTTGAAGAATTGAAACCAAAATTAAGAAATTCAGTTGGGTTTTTAACAGCTTCCAAAAGAAACTCGGCCGCGAGATTTTATGGAAGACCGAAAATCTACAAAATTGATGTTCCTCTAAGATCAACGATTGATTTCATTAATTCAGTAACATACACTTTATCAAAACACAGATCAAGAATACTGAAACAGTTCCAATACAATATCCCTTCAAACATTAAAAGTAATGAGGAGTTCATAAGGAAACTAATGGATATAACTATTGAAAAAGACGAAATTATAGCAAGTTTTGATGTGGTTTCTTCATTTACTAGTATCCCTATATCTGATTCACTTGATATAATGAAAAATGAACTCGAAAACAATTAGGAAATATTAGCTAAATGTTCATAATCAATAGAAGACGTTATAAGATGCTTAGGACTGTTTAGAATCTGCCCATTTTACTTTTAAATACCAACTATACTGTTAGACAAATGGAGTCGCAATGGGATCGCCAGCATCTCCAATTGTAGCAAATTTTCATATGAAAGCTCTAGAAAGGAAAGCACTGTCAAGTTTTAGTTGTCATCCTAGAATATGGTACAAATATGTAGATGACACATCATTATTAAGAAAGCTGAAAAAGAAAACTTTCTAACAAAGATTAACTAAATCTTTAAAAATACAAGGTTTACCAATAGAAAGGAACCGAACGAGGGAACTCTAAACTTTCTGGATAGTCTTGTAAAAAGAAAACCTGAAGAGAAACTAAAGTTTACGACATACAGGAAACCGACACATTTAAACAAATATTTGAATTTCCAATCAGATCATTCAATAAGAATGGAGGTTCCAGTAGCTTTAAATATAGTCTGACAGAGCTAGAAACATTATAACAGATAATGATGATATGGAAAACGGGATCTCCAATGTAAAACAAACTTTGCAAGTGGTTATCCGAAAGAGCTGCTACAGAATATTAACAATAAAAAAGGATAAATGAAGACAGAAAAGTGAAAAATCTTGACTATTGACGATAGCCATTCCACACAGAAAGGAGACAGCTGAACAACTTCAATGAGTACTTGCTTCATATAACATTAAAGTCTATTACAAGCCCTCTGATTCTCTAGAGGAAGCTTTGATGAATGTCAAAGATATGGTTCCCAAAATGACAAAAAGCAATTGCATCTATAGGATAAACTGTCCAAAGCCTCAGGATGGTCGGGGGTGGGTGCCTTGCGCTGCGGGTTGGCCACCCCTCCGCACACCTCTTGAAATGCTCCCATATGACCGGGCGTCTTACATAGCCTCTCCTGAGGAAGTCCTACTCACTGCCTTCACGTGGTGGAGGTGTTTCTCACCAAAGTGAGAGGGCGAAAGCGGATGCCCGGCGCTCTCCACCGGGTTCACTGTCCATTGGATGACAGTCTAGGGGAGATGGCTAAACCCTGATTCCAAACCTCCAACGACTGGCGTATGAAGCTCACCGGCAGACGTATGGACAAAGGGCTTATTGGATGCCCTGGATGACTGGCCCCATTCAAAAAGGCGAATGAACCGGACTCCGGTCACCGGCTGCCAATGGATAGTGGACTCCCTACTCCACTCCTACTGCCTTGTAGGTCACACTTGGTTGTGTAAAGGCTAGAGCTGCACTCTCAAACAAAAGGCCGAGCGATGCTGGGGACATCACTCGTACCCAATTCCCATGAAACTTCATGAACTCTCTTACAAATTGCCGCGCCTGGGCAGCGATGATTCGAGACGTTCATGAAGCCGGCTCATCCTCCCGTAGGAGATAGCCGAAGTAAAGTAAGTAAGTAAGATAAACTGTTCAGAATGTGGAGCTTGCTATACAGAGAACAGTAGACAGGTGAAGGTCAGAGTGAGTGGTCATAGACTGAGCACGAAACGTCCACCTAGAAATGAAGTAGAATTAAAAATTGTAGAAAAAAATATCACCTATAGCAATATATGCTATAGATGGCGGACATAAGATCGATTTCAACACTGTCGGAATTCTAGGAAGAGGCGTTCACTATTTCAAAATATTTTGGTGATGTGAACGATTTTTCATACTGATTCACTATAAATCGTAATAAACACAAACACATGCAAAATAATTACATGACTACGACTACTCAGTGAATAACATCTCCGAAGAGTCATTTTGCTGAATTATTTATTCTTGTTTCCAAGTCTAGACGGGCATTTTTCATGTGTTTAAAAACAAGTTCAATAGGCTTTGTAACTCTCTCTCTCTCTCTCTCTCTCTCTCTCTCTATATATATATATATATATATATATATTATTCATGTGATTTTTTTCATTATAATTATTATTATTTATTATGATCCTAGTATTTTGGAGAAAATGAAACAAAATATTTCTGAACCACAACTGCTTCAGTAGAAATACCCGAATTTTCGTCAA